CTTGATAGAAGAATTATTCCAATAAACTAAGAGGCTAAATGTGGAATTTTGTGGGCCAGCGAAGAGATTCATCTTGACCTGCCTTTTTCCCTCATCTGATGCATATTAAATTCCTCTAGAAAATAAAAGTGTCTCAGCTTCTCATGTGCCTTTGGCCCACTGCCAGCGTGTTAACAGTAGTCGGTAACATTTTGTGTAAAAAGAAAACTGTGGTTGGAAATGTAAAAGGGTGCAGCATTCTGGAAAATAATTTGGCAGTTCCTCAAAAAACTAAGCACACACTTTTCCTAGAGCCTAACAAGCACACTCTTGGGCATTTATCCCAGAAAAAATGAAAACTTATGTTCACATGAAAACCTGTACAAGATTGCTCACAGCAGCTACATTTGTAATAGCTCCAAACTGAAAACGCACAAGGGTTCGACCATACTCAGGTGAGCGATCAGAGAAGCAGACACAGCATCACCGTGGAATCTGGATGCTTCAAAAATAAAGGAGCAACTGGCGATATGGGCAACAATTTGCACGGATATTAAGGGAGCTGCACTAAATAGTGAAAGCCCATCTCATGCTGTACGACTTCTTTTATGTAATAGCGTCAGATGACACAGTTATAGAAATGGAGAACAAAATTATGGCTGCCGGGGTAGTGGGGGACTGCTCCTGTGGGTGGCTCAGGGGAGCTCTTTGTGGTGATGCTCTGGAGAGGTCTGCATCTCCCCTGTGCTGGTGGCCACTCCACAGGTGGTGAAAGGACACAGAACACCACTGGACATTGCAGCAGGATCAGTTTCTGGTTACTACAGTTACCTGATCCGTAAGTGCTGGGGGACACAGTAAAGGAAACAGAGGACCTTTTAAGTCATGTTTGCAGCCGTCTATGAATAATGATTTCAAAGTAGAAAGTTTTTAAAAAATAAAATTGTCGAAAGTATTGTCCGGTATCCCCCATTTTAGCCCATACTGGGGTTTGTGTCTGCTTTTTCCCATTTCCCTTTTTTTTTTTTTTTTTTTTTTTGTCTTTTTCATTTTTATCGGTACCAGGGATCGAACTCACGACTGCCTGCTTGCAAGGCAGGAGCTTATGCCGCTGAGCTAAATCCCCAGCCCCCCCATTTCCCTTTTAACCATTCTGCAGAAATTCTTGGGAAAGATGGCTCTGCCTTTCATATGCAGAATGCTTCCTTACTCTATCGCCATAATCTCCCATTTTATAAATGTACCAAATGCTTTTTAGTCTGGACCCATGAATATTTAGGTTATTTTCCTTATTATTAGAAGTAGTTGCCATGAGTTATATATATCATTTTGCCCATTTTTTTTTTTGAGGCAGTCTCACTATGTAGTGCAGGTTGACCTTGAACTCACTTACATAGCCCATGCTGACCTCAAACTTACAGTGATCCTCCTGCCTCAGCCTTCCGAGTGCTGGGCTATGGTGTGTGCCACCACTCCCAGAATTGCCCACTTTTTTTTTTTTTATAACTTTGCAATACAAATTCCTTGAAGTGGCAAAATTTATTTTAACAGCTATTTATGCTATATTTTAAGGTAATATAAATCTTTTAAGAGTTGCAAATTTTTGAAAATACACATTTATATACATAGTCTAAATGGCAAAAAAACCCAGTCTACTTCAAGTTACTATACATATTGGACATTAATAAAATAATAGTCCTACTTGGCTAAACTAATCTTTTACATACTGATATGATACAAATATGTTTAAAAGGACTACACTGCAGGTGTGGTGGTGCACACCTGTAATCCCAGCACTTGGGAGATTGGGGTAAGAGGATTGCCGCAAGTTCAAGGCCAGCCTGAGCTACAAAGGAGTGCAAGGCTACCCTGAACTGCAGAGTGAGACCCTGTCTCAAAAAGACAAAAATAATAACAATAGGACCATACTCATTATTTTAATAATTTATTGCACAGATCCAGAGATAGTACAATGCCATTTTGTCTCTCTAAATATAACAACTGATCAGGCATGGTGGCATAGGCCTCTAATCCTAGCACTTGGAAGCTGAGGCAGGAGGATTGCCACAAGTTCAAGGCCAGGCTGGGCTACATATTGAGTTCCAGGCCAGTCTGAACTACAAAGTGAGACCCCAACTCAAACAATCAATCAATCAATCAATCAACCAATCCATGATACATAGGAAAAGACGGGCATTATGACTGAGTCACAGAGATATCTTTCCACTCCAGTGATATAAAATAGGTAAGGTGCCCATGTATTAAACAAAGTTAGTTTCCTTCCATACAAAATCTTAGCTCATCATGTAATCAGCATCCAAACAGCTAGACAGGAGGAGGTGTCGCTTTTGGGTCTGGAAATGGAGTATTTTATTTACCCACAGTGTGTGAACAGAGCTTTCTCAGAAATCTTTTCCTGCTGCAAAGCCAAACTATGTGTGATTTGTAGCCCCCCCAAAAATGGCTAAGGCCAGAGAACACAAGTGTTAACACTTTTGAAAGTCACGCATCTACCTCTTGAGTCCCTGGGTGGCAGCTTTGGCTTTGGGGCTGCAGTCAAACAAGAGGGCTCCCTCTATGGGTAATCTTGGGCAAGAAAACACAGGTAGAGCATCCTTAATCTGAAAATCCAAAATCCAAGTGGTCTAAAATCCAAAACTCTTTGAGTACTGATATGATACCACAGGTTGCAGTGAAAACACATATGCACTGAAGTACTGTATAAAATAAACTTCAGGCTATAGGTTGTACGTGAAACATAAAGAAATTTCTGATTTGAACTTGGGTTTCATTCCCAAGATAATCACATATATGCAAATATCCCAAAATCTTGAACAAAGTTTTAAAAGAAAAACATTTCTCGTGTTGGGCATGATAGCACATGCTTGTAATCTCAGCACTCAAGAGGCTGAGGCAGGATTGCCTTGAGTTTGAGACCAGCCTGCACGACATAGTGAGATTCTGTCTCAAAACAAAACACAAAGTATTTCCCAGTCCCAAAATTTAATTGGGATATTTATTTGATATTTACTGTAATCACTCTCACTTGAGGATGAACATATGGGAATTCACTCAATGGCTTCTTCTAAAAAGTCACACTTATAAAGTTTTAAAAACCAAAACTCTTCGATTCCTGGTACCGGTAAAAATCCAAAAAAACAACAACAACAACAAAAACAAAACTCAACATTAAGCTGTAAACTGGTTCAGGGGTGTCTACGGCAGTCAACCTCACAGAAATGGAGGGAGTCGATGTTCCTGTGGGCAAGACTGTACAAATCCCTCTGCATCATATCCTGAGTCTCAGCCTGGGATGAACACTGAACAAAAGGTAGGTGTTATGGCTTGTGTCCCCCCAAAGCCTCATATGGTCATAGGCGATGTCTTTTTCAGAGGTGGATCTAAAGTGTGCCATGCTGGGATTTGTTCATGGTACAATGCTAGGATCAAGGGTGTCAGGATGGGTGTGAGCGCTATCTGCCAAAAGCCTGGATAAGATGTAAGGGAAAGAGCTGTGGCCATCCTTTGTTGTTTTGCTGTCTGCTGCCTGCCACAAACTGTTTCTCCTCTGCAATGCCTGTCTGCCATGCCACCCTGCCTTGGATCCAGCTGCTTATGGACTGAAACCTCTACAAACTGGGAGCTAAATAAACCTTTCCTCCTTTAACTCTGGTCTCAACAACAAGAAAAGAAACTAAGACAGTAGGTTTCCTGGGAAGATCTGAACTGGCTACACTATACCTCTCCTCTGTCCAGTCCTTCTCCTAGGGTGGTGAGGGGGAATGTGGGTGTATGGTGGTCCCTATCCTAGGACCCTGAATCATGAGTTAACTAATAATAAAAACTCATTAGAAAAGTGTAAAAAAATTCTACCAATGAGGCACCAGAAATAGAGAATGGACCTGTGCAATCGCCCACATAAACTGAGTACTTCTAGGACAACAAGGAGGAAGCCAGGGTCAGTGCTGGTTCCCTGGGAGAGGAGCCCTAGGAAGGAGACGGGGATGGGAGGGAGACTCACTTCCTGCTCCCTTTTTTAAAAAGCTTTCAAGTAGAAAAGTTTGGAGCACAATGCCGTGAATTCTCACATCCTCACCACCCAGCTCTCCAAATGTTACCCTTGGCCATTTTTGCTTGATATTAGTTTGCCTGAACAATTTGACTTAGAGTCACCTATAAAGTCTTTGTACACCTTCAACTGTGTCTATCACATGGCAACACAATACAGGCTGAATATACCTCATGGGAAGTGCATGCATCTCATCTATCTGTGTAATAATAATAATAATAATAAACTGCCTCTGCCAGGAGTAGTGAGAGTGCTGAATGGAATGAGATGTATGGGAAGCACCTGGCACATGCCAAGCACAGAGTACTTGCTCAATAGATGCCAACACTGCAATCATTCTCAGGTTTCTCTTGATTTGCTTTTCGCTGTGGTCAACACACAGCTGACTTCCTGACGGCTCTGACTTTGAGATAGGCACACAGATGAAGCAGGCAGCGCCAGAAAGCTCAGGGTCTCACAGACCATCCAGGAACAAGGGCTGCTGGTTCCTAATGCAACCCTCTTTCCACTCTGTTATACTTTACTCAATTTCCCAAAGGGTTCTGGCAGGCCCAGGGCTGGAGTTATACTCACACCCTGCAAGAAAGTGACAGGAGCCCCCAGACAATGTTAAAGACAGGCCAGTGAGGTTGGAGGAGGCCAAAGCTGGTCATGACACTTAGCTGATTTCAAGACAATCCATAAAGATTGCTTCATGCTTACATCAGCTGCCTTGTTCCACAGATGATCTTGTACTAAGCCTGGCTATTTTCTGACAGCAGAAAATGCAATAAAAATACAAAATATAATCCAGCATGTGGTAAAAACCAAATAATTAGAGTTGTAAGTAGCTCTCCAAAATATCCATATCTTTATCTATATTTATATATGTATCATATACTTTATATATTCAATATAACACAAATTTGTTAGTCAGTTTTCTGTTACTGTAATAAATAGCCTAGATAATCCATTTATAAAGAGGAAAAATGTTTATTTTGGCTCACAGTTTGAGAGGCTTTGGTCCAAGCTGGGTTGGCTGTATTGTTTTTGGGCCCATGGAAAAGCAGTCTATCACAGTGGAAATATGTGATAGAATGGAAGAGTGAAAGAAAAAGAGAAACAGCAGAGGGGCCAGATCCTCCTAATCCCCTTCAAGGGCACATCCCCAGTGACCCGAAGACCTCCTACTTGGTCTCTTAAAAGTTTCCCCTTCCAAGCCAGGTGTGGTGGTATGTGCCTATAATCCTGGGACTCTTGACATGCTGAAGCCAGAGGATGACAAGTTCTAACTCAGTCTGGACAAGTTAGTGACTGACCAAGACTTTGTCACAAAATAAAAAATAGAGAACACTTTCCAACCCATTTTATGAGGCCAACATGATTCCGATACAAAATACCAAAATTAGACAAGGTAATACAAGAAAAACTACAGACCAATTTTCTTTCATGATCATAAAATATATCCTACAAAATTAGCAAATCAAATCCAGCAATATGTATGCATATGTGTATCTCAGCATGACCACTTAGGGTTTATAAGAATTTAACATGTGCGAACTCCCCACAAGGAATGTAATTATTATGTTATGCACATATGTGTTAATAAAAAAATTAAAACTTGGAAAAAAAAAACCCATACTCTAACATTGTCATTTACTATGTTAGCAGACTAAAGAAGACATAATTAATTAACGTGGTACAGGAAAATTACTTAACAAAGTTCAATAGCCATTCATAATAAAAAAAACTCAGTAAACTAGGAACGGAAGGGAACATCAGTAGTCTGAACAGGAGCATCTAATAAAAAACAAAAATAAAACCACACACACACAACACTACTCAAAACAAGCATCACACTTAATGGTGAATGTTTTCTGTTTCTCATTCTGATTCAGTTCTACACTAGCAGGCCGGCAATAAGGCCAGAACAGCCAAAGGTGTACATATTACAAAGGAACAAATAAAATGGTCCCTTTCACAGACAAAATAACTATATAGCAGACAATTCCAAGTGATCTATAGAGAAGCTTCTAGAATAAGTGAGTATAGCAAGGTTGCAGGACTTACTGTCAACTCATAAAGATCAATTGTTGGGCTGGGGCTGTAGCTCAACGGCACAAGTGCCTGCCTGGTAAGCGTGAGGTCTGGAGTTTGATCCCTGGTACCAAAATAAAAAATCAATTATATTCCTATACTGGCAATAAATGATTGGAAATTAAAAAATAAAATGGGGGGGGGTGCCAGAAATCAAATTCAGGACCTCCTGCTTGCCAGGCAGCTGGTATGCCACTGAGCTAAATCCCTGGCCAAAAAATTTTTACGTAGCATTTGTAAATTTAAAAAACAGAAACAAGCACAACCTACTGAAGGTTTGCAGGACCTATATGCTGAAAATTATAAAACACTGATGAAGAAAATCAGAGAAGACCTAAGTGGAATGATACATAGGGCTCATGGACTGGAAAACTCAGTGAACTTAGAATAACATTTTCCTCATATGTTCTGTGGACTTAATACCATTCCAGCAGAAATTTTGTCAACATTTTAAAAAATTTAATTATATTTATCGGCACAATTTAGGTTACATAATGATTACATTTATTATGAACAATTTACACCTGTACATGGTAAATCTTGATTTCTTTTTCTTGACCTTTCCTTTTAAATGCAGAGAAACTGAGAAACACCAATGTTGGAGGACTCATACTATCTGATTTAAAAAATTACTAAACAGCTATATTAAACACACAGCTCAACGAGCGGAGTACAAAGTCCAAAAATAAGCCGATCAAAATGGTCAGCTGAGCAAGGAACGGTGGCGCACAACTGTAATCCCAGTAGGCTGAGGCAGGATTGTCATGGGTTTGAATCTAGAAAAAAAATTCAGACAATTCAGGCAAATCTCCAAAGATAAGTCAATGAAGAAAAGATAAGGTTTTTTTTCACCAAATAAATTGAAAAAATTATTCACTTGCAAAAAAAAAAAAAAAAGTCTTGGCTTTTGTGATAATTGTCCTTGACCTAGACCTCCACCACCCTTTGGTTTTGTCATTCTGATTCTGGAATCTTCCAGGGCAGAATGTTGAAAGGATTGAAACTGACTGACTTTGTTTTTCCTTCTGAGCCGGAATCCAAGTCGGAGTTTCTCAAAGATGCTGCGGCCCTCTGAGGAGGTGTGGGATGTTCCTGAAGGGAACTGAAGGGCTCCGAGGAAGCGAACATCCCCCGCCCCGCTGGAGTCATAACTGGAGGCTGACAGGACAGGATGCAGGTGGAAGTGAGGGTCACCTGGACAGCGTGGACCACATCCTCAGAGACGGCCTCTCCATCTTACAGATGAGGAAACAGAGGCCAGGACAGTGAAGGCCATATCTAGGCAGCTGTCCACACGGCAAAGCTGGCCCAGAAATGGTCAGGACCTCTCAATTTCAAGACCCCAGGATGACGCCAGCTGAGTCCCAGGGGCTGGCACCTAGAGCTTCTCAGGAGCTCCCAGGAGATGTGGACAGCCTCAGTAAGCAGATGACAGGAGGAGCTCGAAGTTTGACTCCTCGCAGGAACTCCTCCTGTGCCTCCCGGGGTGCACTTTCATTTTTCCTTTTTATCCTTTTCTCTCTTTGTTTGTCCCAATTGCTCTGCGGGGTCGGTTCTTCCCTTACCCTTTCACCTTGCGTTTTCAAAGAAACTTTGGGCATCCTTTTTGGCTCATCTCGGGAATTCTTTGTTCGAGACAAGAAGGACCTGCAGTACTTTTGTTTGGTGCGCCATTTAAGGAACTGCCCAACAACACCAGCGGCCAGGCTGCCCTCTAAGCCCCAGGCTCCTATATCCAATTTGGCTGTGGATGGAATCTCGGCCCTCTAACAGACTTAGCTCCCCACCTCTGCACACCTGTATCTCCCCGTAGCCTCTCTCCTTGCCCCATCGTCCACCAGCAAATCTCATAGCATCCCTGCTGGTTCCAGCTCTTTCCTCGGCACACTCCTTGGGTCTCCCGGCTTCTGCCTTCACCACTTCGCAGCCCACTCTCCGGCAGCAGATGGGTCATCTAGCGATTCCTACTGCCCTGGCTCCCCAGCACTCTGGGAGGAGCCAGCCTTCCCACAGTTCACGAAGCCTCGATGCAGAGGTGGCAGATCGTCAGCGGCAGCTCTGGTCCCCCTAAGAAAATGTTTGGAAGGTCTTAGGGCTGGGTGAGGACTACGTACTTAAGGTTCTCCTGCCTGACCCTCCGAGGGACAGACTAACGAGCTTTAAGAGTCTGCCCCATGGTCAGGAGTTTGGCACCTTCCCATAAAGGTTTCTTTAACTGCAGGTTGTTGTAATGGCTCCACGCAGGATCCCAACTTCTGCTTTAGGGAGCAGTGGGAAAAGCCACAATCCTAAACTCATTTAATCAGTCTCTGTGACAGTTTACCCATCTGCAAAATGGATATAACAATACACAAGTCACCTGCGAGGGGTTCTCTGCGACGAGTTATAGAGCTCACGTCGCAATACCTGGCACACAGTAGGCGCTGCATACAAGGCAAGCTGTCGCTTGCACTCTACAGAACTGAAGGCACTGTGCAGCGAAGACGTGGTTCAACGCACAGAGAGGTGAGTTCCCCGTCTCCAGAGTGCGTGCAAACGCTCCCTGGTGACCAAAGGTTTCCAGTATCCGCAGAGGTGTGACCTAACTCTCCAAGTCCCTCCAGCCTCACCGACTGAGCTCTTAACAGTTTGTCTCAGCCCTGGACTTCCAAGCTTCAGCTGTTTCCAGTGTGCGCCGGGCGTGCAACCCTAGCGTCAGAGACCACCGCGCAGCGCGGCGGCGCGCAAACGCCCCACACCCTCCGGCTGGCGGTGGGCGGGACACGCAGGCGCCGCGCGCTGCCATTGGCCGAGACGGCTACGAGGCGGGGTCTGCAGACGCGGGCGGCAGCTGTGTTGTCATTAGGCTGCGGGTAGAGGACACGGGCAAGATGGCGGCAGTGTCGGCTCTGGTGCAGCGACCCCTACGGCAGGTAGGCAGTGGCTTGTAACCCCGCGACTCTGCGCCACCCTTGCCCACCCTGCGTCCACGCTGAGAGTCCTTCTGTCCCCTCGCTAGGTTTCCGGGCTGCTGAAGAGACGCTTTCACCGAACCGCGCCCGCGACACTGCAGGTAACTGGCGGGGACGGTCATCAGCGCGGGCGGTGGGGGGAGCCCTTTGTGCGAGGGGGCATAGCGAGGCCGGGATTGCGACGCCCCTGTGGCTGCTCGGCGTCCGGCAGTGGGGCGAGGGCCACGGGCCTCTGAATCTGCTATGGCCGTGTCTTGCGTGGGACTCCCGCTGCCTAGGTCGCCCCCTAATACCCGTCACACTGGCATGGCGCTCTGGTCCAGCTGGTTGCAATCAGATGAGTAATGGAGAAAAACTGACGGCTTCTTTCACTGTCCTCCCTCCCTACTGTGGCTATATATATCGAAAAATTTACCATTTTAAAGAGTTTAATTCAGAGGCATAAAGTACGTTAACCATCACCACTGCCGCAATTTTTTTCATCAACCCGAACAGGAATTCTGTCCATTACACAACACCTCATTTCCCTTCCCCCGATTCCTAGTAACCCCTGTGGCCGTTTACCTATTCTAGAACCTTATATAAATGGAGCATTTGACCATTTGTATCTGAATTATTTCACTTAGCAAGGTGTCTTCAAGTTTATTCATGTTATAGTGTGAATCAGAATTTGTCCCCTTTGACAGGCTGTATAGCTTCCAGTGTAAGTATATTCACATTTTGTTTACCCATTCATCCAAGGATGGACATTAGGGTTGTGTCTGCCGTTTGGATCGGTGAATAGTGCTGCGATGAACATGTGTATACAGGTGTATGTTTGAGTCCTCCTTTTAGTTCTACCCAGTGTGTACCTAGAAATGGGGTTGCTGGATGATAGAGTGGTTGTCATTCCCCCAGCCATCACCATAACCCATATGCACTTACTAGAAGATTTTACTATTCTATATATTAAAATAATAGCTCCAGCATCCTGAATGCAAAGTGTTTGGCACTCACCTAGTCAGTGTTCAGTACTTACTCTCAGGCTTGACAGACTTGACAGTTCTGCCTAGAAAACTGCTTGTGAGCTAACGTGGCCCACAAGTGGTTTTCTAAGGCTTGGGTACATATCAAAAAACATATTCAGAAACCTACCAGTAAGCCAAAGACTGCATGTGAACAGAATGTTATTTTTAGATTCCTGGAATTTTTAAAAGAACCTGATTTAGTATTAGATTGCCTGTTTTATGCTGTGGGTTGCCTAGGCAAGTATAAAAGAGAAATCTCAACAGTGTCCTATAGAATCCTATAGCTTATTGACTATTTTCACATGCCTGTGACAGGTGACAGTTCGTGATGCTATCAATCAAGGTATGGATGAGGAGCTGGAGAGAGATGAGAGGGTATTTCTGCTTGGGGAAGAAGTTGCCCAGTATGATGGAGCATACAAGGTAACCAAAATAGGTGAAAGTTACACAAAATTGAGCTGGCCATTTGCTTCTACATATGCTTGAAAGTAATGGGATCAACTCTAAATTGTAGGTTAGTCGGGGCTTGTGGAAGAAGTATGGAGACAAGAGGATCATAGACACGCCCATATCTGAGGTAAGCTTCCAGCAGGAAGCCAGACTTTGAGGGGCATATGTGTGTGTCCACAGTCCTAACTTCTGTGGGTTTTTTACTCATGCTTATGTTTTATTTTATAGATGGGCTTTGCTGGAATTGCTGTGGGTGCAGCTATGGTATGTAACATTGTTTAAAGAGATTTCCTTAAAAATAAGGTTTTTTTTTTTTTGAAAGTCTGGGAGTTGAACTCGGGACCTCACGCTTGCCAGGCAGACACTGTGCTGCTGAGCTATATATACCCAGGCCCTAAATATGACTTTTTTTTTGTAGTACCAGGATTGAACTCACAATCTTGCGCTTGCCAAACAGATGCCTGTGCCACTGAGCTAAATCCCTGGCCCAGTATGACTTTTTTTTTTTTCCTTTTTTAGATGGGGTCTCACCATGCAGTTCAGGCTGGCCTTGAGCTCACTTTGTAGCCTAGGCTGGTCTTGAACTTGCAACGATCCTCCTATCTTAGCCTACCGAGTGCTGGGATTACAGGAGTGAGCCACACCATGCCCAGCTGTCAGTGTGACCTTTTAAAAAAATAAAAGCATTAGATGTTGGAGGAGTGGAGTAGTTGCTGGTCACTCGTTGTTGCTGTCTGGTTATTGTTTTTTTTTTTTAATGTCCATGTTTTTTTTCTTGACAGGCTGGGTTGCGGCCCATTTGTGAATTTATGACCTTCAATTTCTCTATGCAAGCCATTGACCAGGTTATAAATTCAGCCGCCAAGACCTACTACATGTCGGCGGGCCTCCAGCCTGTGCCCATCGTCTTCAGGGGGCCTAATGGTGCCTCAGCAGGTGTAGCTGCCCAGCACTCCCAGTGCTTTGCTGCATGGTATGGGCACTGCCCAGGCTTGAAGGTGGTCAGCCCCTGGAATGCAGAGGATGCAAAAGGACTTATTAAATCAGCCATTCGGGATAACAATCCAGGTAGGCAGAGTGACCCTGAGTCTCTTTTGAACATACAAACTGAAATCTCTGCATAGGAGGAGGCATAGTGAATGAGCGCCCTCCTGAGCCAAGCCTAAGCTGCGCCAGGTGAGGGGTGGACATGCGTGGCGAATGGGATCGCTCTTCTCATCCTGTCCGTGGGCCTCTTGCTCCTCCACCTTGCCCTTCAGTGGCATGTGCAAGGGAAGGGCGTGGAATCGGCTGACCTCATTCACTTACCTGCCCTCGGCCTCGTGGCAGGGGGCTGGGTTGGTCATCCGATGACCATCGGTCAGTCATCCGATGTGGTGGACGCCCATTGCTTGCCCTTGTGGTGGCTATGCCACTGGGGTGGGTCCTCCCTGAAGTAGAGAGGTCTGCCCCGCCACTGTGTCATGCATCCCCCCAAACTGTGGCATGTGAGCATGCCTCAGCCTTCTGTGGTAAATTCTTTTTCTAAGAAACAAAAAGAAGGAAGCACAATAGGTTCATTTTATAGGTCTTGACATAAAATGATGATGATACATAGATACGTAAAGGTAGTAAAGAATGTGCTTGTTTTTCTTGTTTCTATCACAAGGCCAGTTCGGTAAAGGAGACATTTACTGACCCCCACCACACTGGCTTCACTGCAGTAGGCGAAATTAAATCAGTCAAACTACAAAGATTAAGTACCTAAAACAATGATGGTGAAGTTTTGGGAACTTTCAGTGGTAACAAACGGCAGGCTGCAGCGTGTGTGCCACAGGTTCACCACCACTGACCTAAACCATCTTTAAGGTACTGGACATGATAGAAATAAGGTTTCCTGCTAGGTGTGGTGGCGCATGCCTGCAGTCCCAGCACTCGGGAGGCTGAGGTAGGAAGATCGCTGTTTGAGTTTGAGTTCAAAGCCAGCCTGGGCCACAAAGTAAGTTCAATACCAGCCTGAACTGCATAGAGAAACCCTGTCTCAAAAGACATGGGAAACACGTAAAAGGAAAGAAAGAAGGCTTTGTAATGAACATAGTGGACTTTTCACAAGTGGGATATTGTATTTTGCATTTTTAGATACTCTATACTTGCTTATTTTGCTTCAATGTGATATTTTGCAGTGGTGGTACTAGAGAATGAACTGATGTATGGAGTTCCTTTTGAATTTCCTGCAGAAGCTCAGTCAAAGGATTTTCTGATTCCTATTGGAAAAGCCAAAATAGAAAGGCAAGGTAAGAAAACTTTAGTGTACGTTTAGACATTCCTTTAAATCCAGCTCCTGTTTATGTAGGTCTTATTTAATCCAGAAACTACAGCCATTTACTTTGACTAAAAAAGCAAAGGTAGAGCTCAACAATGTGAAGTTAGGCTTGGTGGTGCATGCTTACAATCTCAGTAGGAGGCAAGGGGGCTCATAGGTGCTCAGCCCAGTAGGTTTGAGTTTCCGCTCTAGGCATCGAGCCACAGCTGGCTGCAGAGTGGTACTGTGTCTTTGGTTTCAAACCTCACCTCTGGTCTGTGACCTCTGTTTTTAGGGACACACATAACTGTGGTTTCCCACTCGAGACCTGTGGGCCATTGCTTAGAAGCTGCAACAGTGCTTTCTAAAGAAGGAGTTGAATGTGAGGTGAGTACTTTTCACTTGCTTTTAATCAAAAGATCCAAAAATAGAAGTTGTAACAGTGGGAAGTTTTTTGAGGCAGGGTCTCACTATGCAGTTCAGGCTGGCCTTGAACTTGGGTGATCTTTCTACCTCAGCTCCCCTGAGTACTGGGATTAAAGGTGTGAGCCACCATGTCTGACTCGTAATTTTAACTGGATATAAAATCGTGCTTTGCTGCTTCGTTCTATCTCAAAGCTGAACCTGCTGATTTTACACCTTTATCTTAGCTTTTACCACTTGGATTTTAGATCTCTTAGAACAGTACCTACTTTCTCAATTTAAAATCCAGCATTAGAGCTAGACTTGAGGAAAACTCAAGATTTTTCTGTGATTCTAGTTACACGTGGTTGTACATCACCTGTAATCTCAGGACTTTGGGAGGCTGAGGCAGGAGAGAACTGCAGGTTTGAGACCAGCCTGGGCAACTTAATGAGGTCCTGTCTCAAAATAAAAATGGGCTGGTACCCACCCCTACCCCCAGCTCAGTACTACCACCAAAAAAAAAAAAAAACTCTAACCTTGTGATAGCACCTACCAGTTGCTGGTTCTACTTGGGCAAGTCAGGCACTCATTCTGTTTCATTAGTAATAAAGTAAAGATAATAGAAATACTAACCCATTAGTGTTAATTGTGAGAATTAATGCTTATTTGACTGCCTGAGATACACTGAGCACTCAAATACTGGCTCATTGATGTTTTGATAAGAGGGAAGTCAAAGATAGGAAGGATAAATGTTACTCATTAATAAAGAGGGATAAATTATTATTTTAAGGAATTTCTCCTTTCCTATTTTTCGACTCATGTATCTGTCAATAGGCACATTAGATTTTCCTGTACCCAAAGATTAATAAGAAACAAACAAACAAAAAAGTAGTCATGTGTGATAAGGCCAAGAAGTGGTTCAGTGGAGTCAAGGCTGTGTCTGTGCTGCAGCGGTTCTGTAAAGATGTTTTATCTGTTCAGGTGATAAATCTGCGTACCATTAGACCAATGGACATTGAAACCATAGAAGCCAGTGTCATGAAAACTAATCACCTTGTAACCGTGGAAGGAGGTTGGCCGCAGTTTGGAGTAGGAGCTGAAATTTGTGCCAGGATCATGGAAGGTATTTCGAAGAAACTGCTTTTAGACTGTGGTTAAGCTTTAGTAAACATTGTGTACCTGGATCCATACTAGAGGGAGAGATTCAGAGCTAGGGGTGGCCAAGTAATTGATTTCATCTTTTGACTTGTCAGGTTGGCATTTTCCCCCGTGGGTAAATGATTAAAAAAAACCAAACCTGGAATGGATCCCCACGGCTAGAATTTCTTTACAGCAAATTTCCTCTTCCTGGGTGCCATTCTCCTCTGCAGGGTGGTAGACTCAGCTGGCTCTCCTTGCCCTTCTCTCAGGGGAGCCTTGTTTTTCTTCCAGGCCCTGCCTTCAATTTCTTGGATGCTCCTGCTGTTCGTGTCACTGGTGCTGATGTCCCTATGCCTTATGCAAAGATTCTGGAAGACAACTCTGTACCTCAGGTCAAAGACATCATATTTGCAATAAAGAAAACATTAAATATCTAGTTCAGGTTTGAACCTCAAGTCATTGAAATTTATTTAAAATAATGGCTGGGACTTGTGGATTGGACTGAAAGATCTTACTGCTTATAAAGAAATCTGTAAGGCAACAATATTTTATACTGGTAAAAAGCTAAGTGTGTTTTAGTGGGAAACTCCACACGCCTGCAGCAGATTGCACTGTGTCTGTTACAGCTGCCCTGTTCCTTGAGTAAGATTGATATACAAGGACAGGATCCTGATGACACAGCTCAATGATAACTTATATGTATAAAAGACATTGTATAAATTTACTGTTACAGTGTTTTGATAATAAAGGAATTCATTACTATGAGTCATTTTTATATTCACAAAATAATAAATGTGGGCAGAAGTCTTAAAATTCTGTTGAGAAATTAGTGTCAAATGGAAAATAAGGTGATCATATATAAGCAATTGCTTAGCTTTTTTTGGTGGTGCTGGTGATCAAACCCAGGACCTTACACCTTAGGTAAGCTCTTTAACACTGAGCTGCATTTCTAGCCTTCCCTGCTTGTCAGTATCCATGTACCAGAAACTCCATCCAAAACAGCAAAGCTGACTTCAGGACTCTGGCCTGTAACTTCATCAGGAATGGATGACCTAGACCACATCACACATGGCATAGCAACTTCTCCACGCTTTACATGCCCAGAATTCCCTTTAAAATGAACACATTTTCCCCGATCACCAGAAACATTACAGATACTGTCCTCTCAACTGAGAGAAGAGACTGGTTTAAATGAATTACAGAATCCTAGAGGCAGTATCTAAATAGTAAGATAGGCCTGTTATCATATATTAAGGAGGAAATATGACAAAAACAAAATAGACAAGACAGGAAGGAAACTGCGGTATGAGTCTTTATGTTTACAAAAGGTAAATGGAAAATTGTCATTTGAAATATCTACAAACAGCATGTTTCTTGACATGGTTTATTTTAATAAAAAATACAGCTGAACATTTCTCACAGATTTCATGAAACTGTACACGATAACATTCTCTCTGCATAGTAACCAACACTGATGTGTGTACTTGAATTTTAAAATGGATTACTCATAATCCTTTAAAGTGCAATTTATTTTAAAGTTTAAGCAAATCATATGATAAAAGATATATTAAATGAGTAGCATTAAAAAGATAATACATTTGGATAAATCTTTCCTATATCAGAATTGACTCCTAAATGTCAAATTTACTTATGTGGTAATAATGACCACCCCAAACCCCAAACTTGACAGCTGCTGAGGATTTAACATCTTTTAACTGGTAGGAACTTTAATATTTTGTTGTCTGTTTCAACATATTCTAAGTAAAAGTGTGGGTCCGGTGTAGCTGCTCCTGCAGCCCTGACTGAGTTCTGTGCTCATAAGATTCCCAATGTCACTTGAGACTCTTGGGGACCCCACCCCACCCCCTAAGTGTGAGGGGAGGAATGAACTTGGCTGGTTTGCTCACACAGCAACGTAACTATTACTTTGGGCTACAGCATTAATGTCTGAGGCAAAACAAAGATAGCAGAAATGAGTTATCTAAGGAACGTCCAGAAAATGCTTCAACAGATGAGTTATGAAGGGGTATCTCTGACGAGTAGTAAGGACTACAGCACGAGGCCATTCACTCCTGCAACAGATACTGTCACTGCTTGTTTCTGTTTCCTTTGGTTGGCGGAAATCCTGCTTCAGATAGCCTGCTGCCCCCAAAGACATGCATTAGAGGACAGCGAGGATCCTTCACAGTGCTAACAAAGGAGCAGAGTCCTGGGCAGCAGTGCTGGCCCATGCTGCTCTCCTGAAAGCCCCTTCCTGGAACGTATGCAGAACAGTGTGTGGCAGGGCTGGCTTCCGGGTCTCAGCCAGCAGCAGGGTACTTTGGGGTGGGAGTAGGGCAGAGGGAACTTCTCTCTCCCCGTGTAAACAGGAAGCTTAGCCAATCTTGGGGGCACTGTGATCACAGGTTTCGGCTTTTCTCAGCGTTCCCTTTTGGAAGTTCTGGATGGAGCTGAGCAAGGCCCCTCGGCTAACGCCGTTCACACCCTGGGCTGAGAGCTGTGCAGGCATCTCTGTGCTCCCTGGAGGCCAGGGAACCGTTGCTGGCGGAGGCGGAGGTGGAGGCGGCGGTGGAGGTACTGCACATGGCCCTGTGGGGGAAAGGGACAGGAGACAGGTCACCCACTCCTCACCACCCCATGCTGCTGCCACTCAGCCCTGGGTAGAATAATTCTATGGAAACTGCACGTGTTCTCAGAGGGACCAAGACACCATTGTTTAAAATACTGAACACAAAAGCTAGAAGCAGCAGAGTACTCAATTAAAGGTGATTTCTTTGAAGTAACAGTCACATGAGAAAAGGTAGAATAAACAGCACAAATGACATGAAGCCACACCTGGTGATATGACACTGACCTCATTTCCAAATTCTAGTAAGGTCCGAAAAGAAAGAGTCCCATCAGCTACTTTAGCTAGGTCCCGGCAGCCTTCCCTACTCCTACGCTGGGCTATTCGGATGTCACTTACTCAAAAGGGACAGACACACGAGACTGGAAAGGAGTGATTTAGTGTAAAACAACAAACCACTCAGCACTCTGGCTGAGAACCAGTGCCAGGAGTCTGTTCTACACAGGAACTGCTTATTAGGTTGGACTGAAGAAATACAAGATACTAACAGCTGTGAGGAACACAAAGCTAGGGCTTATCGTGCACTCCCCCTGGGGAGTCTCGCTCAGGTCTGCTCTTTGCACAGCTGCCCATCTGGGGAACAGAATGGAACTGCACCAATGTACAGCAGCATCAGGAGAACTAGAATGTAGAACTTCATCCCATGGGGCAAGGACAGGGAAAGTAGACATGTAACACTTCCCCCAGCTCCAGGCACAGCTGTGTGTTGTGTGTGTGTGTGCGCGCGCGTGCAAACTCTCCTGCCTCCTCCTGAGTGCTAGGATTAGAAGTATGTACTACCATGCCTGGTCCAGCCCTTCCTTGTTTTAGACATACCTCTTAAGTTGCCCAGGCTAGGCTTGAACCTGAGACCCTCCTGCCTCAGCCTGAACTGTGTACTTCTGAATCAATGACTGAATTGTTCTCTGAGAACAAAATACGCACAGAAATAGTCCTCCCTTGCAGGATTTTGAGCAGCAGACTAGTCGTCCTATCTCCCGTGAACTTCACAGCATTCGAGACCCCACTGTCTGCAGCTGTCACTACCCTCCACCATCCTGGGGTGACACCAGGGAGCTGTTCCTGGGTGGTCCCCACACTGTGGTGGCGGCAGGCAGACAGCACCACTGACGCAGCATGGAGGAGTGACACGGGATCACCAGTGAGAGAGCACACTCTTTCTACCAAATGTGACAGGCAAAAGCCTGTCTCAGAGTGCACAGAAAACTACTTACCTTCTTCCATATCTTTTATCCCAACCTAAGGTAGCTGAAATTAAAGAATCACTCAAATGCATGCAAATGCTCTGCAATCTTAGAATTCTCAAAAAATGGAAATATAGCAACACAAATAAAGATTAAGTACAGACAGATGAACAAAACATAACTTTCACTGGCGCTATTCAGTACCAACTAATGAATGCAGGAGCTATGTATGTTCTGTGCTGGGATGGACTGTGAGAACATGTTTCTAACTTTGTCACAATTATAAAGATAAAAATGACTTTAACTGAAGGGAGTGCCCAAGTGAGAAACCCAGGTAGGATGAGTATGTAATGGAAATGTCCCTCCAGAAAGGTCTCTTGGTAGTGAGCAGTCAAGGTGTCAGGAGGAATGCCCTGCTGAAGCCCTCAGAACCAACGGAGCGAGCAAAGAGGCTCTGCCCCCACAGGGTGAGGGGCTACCAGTGCTCCCTGCAGGCTCTCCCATCAGTGGCCAAAAGAGGGCAGCGGAACTGAGAATGATCTTTAGGATCAGTCTGCATCAACCAGGACCTCTAGCCACCACCAGCCCCCCCAACCCCCTGGGCTGTAGCACCACCTGGGGGTCCTGCAAGAGGCTCTGCGCTGGCCACCTGGAGACCACTCTCCCGGTAGCCCAGGATGCTGGCAAGATGGAGGCCAGTTCCAGGGCCGAGCTCTGGGGCACCACAGCCACTTGCCATACAGTGAAGGTGCGAGGCCGCTCGGGCACATCCCCCGACTTTGTACGCACTGCTGAGCACTGGAAATTAAAAGTACAAAGTGAAGCCCTCAGAACTAACGGAGCTAGCAAGGAGGAGCTCTGGCCCCACAGGTGAGGGGTGAAAATGTAGGCAGTGGATATACACCTTGCACCATGCTGGGGGATGAGGGCTGTGTCTCTTCCTGTATGGCAAATGGACACTGAAGCTGTGTGGTTTAAATCTCTATTGAGACTTAAACCACAACGCCTTGGTAACAATGGCAGGGCTGGCAACACCTGTGTGATGCCTGCACTCCTTGCACTCCTAAAAACGTGGACGCTCCTCCTCCCCAGGTCGCAGAGAGGAGCGCACGGTGTCCATGTTAACACATGTCTAGGACAGACAGCCCTCCAAAACAGTTCATGTGTATGATGACAGGCTTAAGCTCTCCCTTCTCACTCACCTTAGACAAAACCCTTCCCCGAATCTCTCCCACCAAATGCAATGGGAGCCTGACGTTTGGTGGAGGCCTTGGTGGAGGGTAAGACTGCTACAGCCAGGAGTGCAGGCCAGATTCAAGCAGGAAGGTCTGGCTGCAACAGCCCCCAGCCTGGGGAGGATACCCAAGAGTCCCGTCCCTAGCCCAGTGTTAGCAAGAGCAATAGAAAGGTGTCCACACCTCTGGGTAGTGGGAAGGCCGAGTGACCACCAGACCACACTAGAGCCACGCCAGACGGACCCACCACTGTGAGGAGGGAGCAGCACTATCACTCCCAACACACAGCAGCCCCCCACGCATTTGCTGTCCACCTTTGCACTGGCCTCAAGTGGATAAGGGTCATACTCCAGTCCCACAAGGCTTTGAGAGGGCTTAAGAACTGGTTTTCCCCATTGTCTGTCCGTTATAAAAGCCAGTCTCCATGTAAACAAAAAACTCAATAGCTTAACACTTCTTTCTCTGCATCAGAGGCACTAGGAACCAATATTTTGCAACAGGACTTTGAGAGTCATGGTTTCCAAAATTAAAATACACCAAAATGCCATGCAGTTGATTTGTGGTTTTTAAAGCTATATTTTAAACAAAAGTCAGAGTGAAAATGAAGATTTTTGAAGGTCATGATGGAAATGAAATGAGTATATGGTGTTTTTTAAAGATGCTGTATTTCTTTCAAGTGTTCAGGTAAGGAAATAGCCTCAAATCTGTTTCTCCACGTGTGCATGGAGGTCACCTCAGTGACCTAGAAGTACTGGGTCCTATTTGTCCTACAGAAACAGAGCATCTTTAAAGTGAGACAGAAATCAGCATAGCTTACTTTACCGAAAATTCACGGTCAAAATGGTGCATGCTCTACTGAAGACAGCAAAGAGAAAGAGAGAAAGGGGACACAAGTCATTATTCAAGTTTTTGTGTCATTTAATCAAACAGTAACAGTAAAATACTAGCCTGAATCACACACTAATTATTCTCAATGAAAAATGCCCTGGTTTATAAATATGACATGACCCTTTTCACACATTTGTTCACATCAGGGCCATAATTTGTTTGTTTCACTGCTGGTAGCTCCCAACTCCCCACAGTCCACACATGACTGTCCCAGGCCACCTGACAGCACAAGCATGCATGGCCACGGGTGGCTCAGGGCACAGGAACATGTTAAACATGACACACACACACACACACACACACACACACACACACACACTACTAGAGTGACCAGGGAGCCACCTCCCTCTTCACATTCTTGAGCCAGTTAGGTACTGTGTTTATTTATTTAGAAGTATAACATTCACTTCAAAAAGCACCCTGAGGTCTTCCTTCCCTTGGAGAGCACAACAGATGTCTCCAGGATAGACCATTCTCCCACTAAATAAGGACAGTTTATCAAAAGGGGAAGGAAAGATTGAGGGAGGGAAAGTGAAGGGAAGGGGATAGAAAAGGAATTGGAAAAAAAAAAAAAGGAGAAGGCTAAAGAAAGTCTGAAATGCTCCTCAAAGCAGGTCTTCTACTGAGTAAAACAGAGACTTACATCAGTTTAGAGCTGTGGAGAGCAAAAGCATAGAGTGGACCTGAGGCAGAGCTGCCGGGCTGCCTGCCGTCCTCCTCTGAGGGCATGACAGCCACTTAATAAGAAAAAGCAAGGCAAACATTTCCCATGCTGTCTCTTAAAGTGAGCAGACTGCGTGTTAAAAGTGAAAGATAATTCTTTCCAGGCCAGTGAATCTGAGTTCCCACTCCCCACTTTCAGGGAAGAGCCCCTCCTAGGGAGGCCTGGGGACAAGGGCAAGGCAGACTGCTCACACTGCCCGCTGCAGCCCTGGACCCATAAGGCACATTGGGAGGCTTCCCCCTCCCCAGCCCTCACCTAGGGTGACTCTGAGGAGCCCCGCACTGGGATGGGGCTGCGAGGAGGGAGAGGAGGAAGACACAGGCCAGCACCAGGAGAGGCCAGCCGGCTGCAGCGCAGAGCAGCAGGCTGCACAGAGCAGGTCTGCAGGGCACTCTGCTCACCTCCAAGTGCAGCTTTGTAAAGTGTGCTCCCCTTTTGAGAAGGAGGTGATTCTTCTGGCAGAGACATCCATTTCAAACCTTGACAGGCTCTAGGCTCTGATTCGGCTAACACATTCTGAAAGCACCAGCACTCCAAAACTCACTGTTTTTTGTGCCAACCCCGCTCCCCGTCTTCACCCTCCTTCCAGTTCTTTAAGCCCTCAGTCATTCTCTACCATTTCGGTCCTTCCAGCTCCAGACCTGAAACTTCTCTTTCCTCCACTCATTCTTCCAAACCAGGTTTTGTACAAACTTGGCTTCTCCTTCCTCAAAATTACTGCTTAACACTAAAGTGCATGCATGGAGGGCTACAGTTCTCGGACATCAGGGCCTTCCTGGCGTATACCTGACGGTGCTTCACTGCTTACAGAGCTCGGCGTTTATACTGTCCCCCTCAGAGGGAGGGAGCACATGTTCTCTTCAAACACAGCTTTGAAAAATGGAAATTACTTGCCCAAGGTCACAGCAGACAAGTGCAGAGTTAGGGCTCAGGCCAGGTTTCCTGGTTCTACATCCAGGGTCTGGTCTCAGGAGCCAGGCACAGTGTCTATCTAACAGCGCAGGCACTGCAGAGCAACTACAGCCAGGCGTGCAGTAAGTGAGCCGGAAAAATGATTAGAGGCATGCCGAGGTGAAATCCCGGCTATAGCACCAGCCCCTGCCTGTGTGACACTGGTTGCTTCATCTGAATTGTACTAGAGCCTCAGTTTCTTCTCTGTAAAACGGAGCTGAAATGGAATCTGCTCTCACTGGATAGAAAGATATTCATGAGGATTAAATGAAACAATGACCAAAAGCCAATTAGAACAGTAGCTAGCACAAAATAAGTTAGCTGTGTTTATAAAAAACAATTTAGCATCCTGTCTTCTTTAGCTTTCCTAAAATATTCTTACAAATCTGCTTTAAAAAAATAAAAACAAAACAAAGACAGCAAAGTGACAGGACCATCTGCTCCTAAAGTGACAGGGGCAGAGTTATGGAGTATTTACTTATGTGTATATAAATTGGGACCTTTTAAACTACTCAGCTCAGTGTGTTCACAGAAACATTAATTGATGACATTTACCATGAAATAAATCGGGGTAAGAATTTTAAACTTCTTGAAGGTGTGACTTTCCTAAGACAGAAAACAATCTTTAGCAAAAATCAATGTTCTCAGGGCTGGGGATTTAGCTCAGCAGCATAAGCACCTGCCTTGCAAGCAGGCGGTCGTTGAGTTCGATCCCCGGTACCAAAAGAGAGAAAAAAAAAAAAAATCAATGTTCTTACCAAAAAAAGGATTGCAGAATTAGAGAATGTCACGTCACCAGACAGAACTGTCAGCAGACGTAGGGAGATGATATTCCTCCCATCAATTTGGTAAAAACCTCAAGATGCCCCATGAGAAGGTGCTGCAGAGAGAAAAGGGAGGAGCCTACTTGCTGGAAAGGACCCAGGGGAGTGAGACCTCTGTATGTAACAACATGTCACATCTGCCCCATGCTAAAGGTAACTGAGAGGAAGACATGAGTTACATCAATGAACTGAAAATTGATGCTTTCAGAAGAAATTCAACTTGCCTAAGTTGCAGAGTTGGCTAAGGTAACTGCTGAGCCCACAGCTGGGAGATAGAGTCCACAGCAGATTTACAGCGTGCCTGGTGAGGGACTTGGGGAGGGTCTCCTCTAACTTCTGCTTTCTGCATTTTACAGAGGAGATAACCAAAACCTGGCCAGAGATACAGACTGGCTGGAGGTCTGAGCAGCGAACTGTGTGAATGGCTTTCCAGGTGCTGGGCACGGCCCCTACATGTAATTCACAGAACCCTTCCAACAGCTGAACAGGGGCAGTACCCTAGCTTCTCTCTTTGTGAACTGGAGGCACCTGGCGGCCAAGCACCTGGCTAAGGTTCCAGAACCAGGAAGCAGTGGCTCCCAAGCTTAGGACTCCCACACCATTGGTGCAGGTCTCAAGTTCTGTGTTTGTGATTGAGACGCTATCTTTTGTAGGAATTCTTTCATTAATATTAGTCCTTGAAAACAAAGATATTTTTTTCCTTTTCTTTTTTTGGTGGTTGCACTGAGGATTGAACTCAGGACCTTCACACTGAGTTACAACCCTAGCCCTTTTTTATTTTGAGACAGTGTCTTGCTAAACTGCTAAACTGTCCACTCTGGGTTTCACTTTGTAATCCTCCTGCCTCAGCTTCCCAGAGTGCTCGGGATTATAGGTGTGCACCACCACACCTGGCTCCTTCCTCTCTGAAAACAGTAATTCATCATAAACCCAGAAGACACTACCCTTGACTTAAACCCATAAACTTAGCCTAGAAGTCAGGTTGCAAATTGGGGTAAATGAATCCCACAGCAGGATAAGCAGTGTGCAGAGTGCAGTGAGAAAGACAGGCCAAGAAAAGCCAGCCTTCCTGTCCTCCAAGTCTAGCCAGGGTAAGCAGCTGAAAGCCTAGGTCCGCCTCTGCCCAGCAGAGGCCCTGAAGGCAGAGGAACCCTGAGGATATCCATCAAGGACTTACAGCCTACTTGCCTGAAGGCCACAGACCAGGAAGTGGCTACTTTCTAGGATCCCTTGATGCCGCGCACAGAATGAAGCTCAAGGCTGTGCTTGTTGTGTACTAGTTTTCCATATGAGGAGCCCTTGTTAGAGGAACTGAGGGGAAAAGACAGTATTGTTATGACCAGATCCCAAAGGCAGCATTTACCTGCACTGTGTCTATCACTGTGGAGCTCCTGAGAGGCTTCAGGAAGGAGACTACGAGAGCTGGGACCTTGCTGTTCATCTTCCCAAGCTAGGGCCATCAGAGTCCCTGGCAAGCCACAGGCTCCCTTATAAATGCCTCCTGAAAACACCGACTGAATAAACTTCATGAGGATGCTCTGTATAGGGCCTGAAGTGCTAGCTTCCCAGGCAAATGCTAAACATTACTTTTATGAGCTGTATTACAAAAAATCCCCAGCAGAGGTCAGAGTACTGTCTTTGGGGTAGAACTGATAATTCTGTCAAAACATAGAAGAGAAAGGTAAAGGAAAAGGAGGAGCTGCTAGGGCTGGGAAGCCCTCACTGGTGGGATGTCTTTGTACTTGGGCCTCAGTGTGCTAACTTCTGTCCTGCCACTGGTCTTCGGGGTAGCACTGTCCACTCACAGCACCCATCCTCTGCCACTCCCATTCACCTTCGATGAAACTCTTCCAGTACTGACTTTAATCCCAAAAGAGTCCTGTTTTTCTTCTCTCATTTTAGGCAAATGCTTTATTTACTTGTTTAATCAATGAACTTACTCTGCCGTGCTGGGGATTGAATCCAGGCCGTCACACTATTAGGCCAGTGCTCTACCACTGAGTTTCAAGCCTCCCAGCCCTTGCTATTTTACTTTGAGATGGGGTGTCCCTAACTTACCCAACTGCCCTTAAACTCACAGTCCTCCCCTCTCAACTTCTTGAGCAGCTCAGACTATGGGTGCGCACCACTGTGCTTGGCTCTAGTGCTTTTTAAAATGCTTTTATCCCCCAGTGCTGGAAATGGAACTCTTATGCATGTTAGGCAAGAGCTCACTGCAGGTGAGCTATATCCCTGCCCTTCCTCTAACAGTCGAAAATTACTTCATCTCATGCAAACTTGCTACTGTGTGAGACACTTCTGTTTGCATTAGTTTTTGTTTTTGAGACAGGGTCTCTCTATGTAGTTCAGGCTGGCCTTGAAATCACTGCATAGCCCATAATGGCCTCAAACTCCAGAAGATGTTCCTGCCTCAGTATCCCCAGGGCTGGGATTATAGGTGTACACAACCATGCCCAGCTGAGATAGCTGTCACTTAAAGCAGAGGCAGACAATTCCTCCCATAAGTCTGAATACACTGAGTTTTCTGTTTGTTTGAGACAGGATTTCACTATGCAGTGAAGGCTGACCTTAAACACAGGAGTCCTCCTGTCTTAGCCTCCCTAGTGCTAGGACTGCAGTTATGTGCCACCACACCCAGCCGAGACACTTAAAAATGAGAATCAACCTACACTGAATATTGACAACATATTCAGCAGACACTTTACTTGTTAAAGGAGGGTTTATGGAGATAATTTTGTCTAATTTCCTTACTATGTCCAAATGGTATAAAATTAATATTCTATCTTCTAGCAAATGGCTCTACCCAGGCTGGGCAGTGAGTCTCCAGAAACTCTGGATCAGCCTAAATAAGTCACCTTCACAAAACAAAGATCTGTCTTTATCAGTATGTGGGAAATTCATATAAAATCTGCTGACCAAGCCAAGAAGAAGTGTGTACTTACCGGAGCCAGGTTCTTCACTACTCAAAACTGGCCCTGGCCCCAGAACATTTTGCAGTAATTGCTATCAGCCAGCAAGGGCAGACCCCTGCCCCCAGGCAGACGGTTCAAACTAGCCCCTTGCATTTGCCTGGTGTTTCCTTAGGAAGGTCAGCTCAAAGCCTGGGAGAGAACTGGGAAATGCTTTTGGTAGCCCCTAGGGCCCACCATAAATTTTCACGAATATCAGTACTGTCACATCTTGGTCAATCCTGCTGATGACTCTCCTCTCCCACGACTGCAGGAACCCTCCAAGAACAACTCATGTACTCTGAGGGGTGGAACCCGCACCTCAGACATCCAAACTATCTGGTCCGCTTAGGAAATAAAGAAACAGGGTGCTCCAGGGAGCTTTTACTGGGCTTAAAAAGTAGTCAGAAGAGAAGTTTTAGTTCAAAAAGGAAAGAAGAGAGTAAAGACAGTATTATGAAACTATTCCACAGAATCAGATAATTTTTCTAAGTTCCAAGATAAATTCCTTTTAAATTTACAAAACAAAGGCTAGTGATAGAGACATATTAGGATAATGAAATGCATCACAGAGCAGGATAAAGTACGAGTAGTTAGCAGGCAGGCAGAAGGCAGGGTAGCTCCCTGGACGCTAGGGGCCGCAGCAGCTCTGCTCTGAGACAAACCCAGTGCACACTGGCTCCCTGAGGAGAGGGATAGGGCCCTGGGCACAGGTGCGTTTATTCTGTCTGAAGACAAGCTGCCTCAGCAAACAGCAAGCTTGACCAAAAGGTGCCTAATAGCTCTAAAACCAATCCACTTCCAGTGAACACAGTTTCTCCTGGAAGACACAGCTAATTTACATTCTCTCTGGTTTCTCCAGAGAAGGCTGGTGCGATCTGACCCCCGAAATGCTTGGGCCAAGGCAAGAGGAAGAGCCCTTTCTTCCATGGGTGGAGAGGAGGAAGGTGTGTCACTTCCACTTTACTAACCTGCTGTAGAAGGCGGAGTCGGAGATGATGGGGATGTGAGAGGTGAGCTGGCCCCAGATCCTGCTAAGATAAAACAGAAACGCTCATGGGGACTAAAGATGCTAATGTGTACTAGAATCTGATACAAACAGAAACCCACTGTTGTTTGAGAATCTGCACTTGGTCTAGCATGTGGGTCACAAGTGCTAAGGGACAGAAACTTGGGAGACTAGATCCAACGCAACAGGCTGTCACTCCAGTGCAGGGTCAGCTTCCTTCCTAGGCCACTAAAGGCTGAGTCTCCTGGTCTTCTCAGCTCGCCTGGTGTAAAACCAACTTTGCACAGTCCACAGCTTAGGCAATTATCTGCAGTCTCTCATTCTGACTCAATCCCATGTCTAGGCAATGACAAATGACAGTGGCCAGAGCTGTACGGCAGACATGGCACACAACAACCTGGCAGGGCCTTGCCAAGGAAAGGAAGGGCTCCTCACAGCATTCACCCAGCACTGTATTCACAGAATTTCCATTTTATCAGGATGTGCATTTGATTAGAGAGGGTAAGACTGTGCAGTGTGTGAACTTTCTAATCCTTTTCTTACATGAAATTCAGTAAATGCCCTCATTTACAGTGAAACAATGTGCAAAACCCTATTCTCTGTGTGCTTTTCTATGGACCTAGAAACCTTGATATGCACAAGTTCTTAACACCTCCCTCTAGCTTAGAATTACCTAGAAAATGTCTGTCCTCCTCGTGTGCATGGCATGAAAGCAGCCTCAGGAGCAGACAGTAGTCTCTGCATAAGGCTCTTCTAGGGTGATAGGAGGCCTCTGCCATGCTTGGAGAAGTAACCAAAGCTCTCTGGCCTGGTGCTCCCTAGGCCAAAGATGCACACACCCAAAGGGAGGGCTGTGGTCAGTGAAGCTACCAACAGCTGATCTGGGCAGGCCTATCCTACTTCTACTACCACCCAGAAGGGCATGCTGGTGCCTCATGGACACTGGGTACATTGGGAAGTGGCCTAACTAAACCACATTTCCCTCCAGGTTGCTATCTTTCCTTACTTGTAATACTCCCTCAGCCTCCTAAAAATATGCAGAGCGTTTTACTGAAAAAGAAGGTAAAACTCACTGTGTTTTATCATACTATTTGTAGTGCTAACGATTTCAATGGGGAGAAGACTGAACTTGCAGTACCTGCACTGTCTGTACATTATCTGCACACTGCTATAGATAACCACTACCGCATGTTCCTGAACTTCTTGAGGGCGCGAGTGTGTCTGGAGAGTCCTTGGTGCCCCTCTGGTTGCACGTGGCACACAGTTCTGCAGGCAGGTATCAGGAAGCTGGACAGCACAGTGGGTTTTCTCTGCTTTCTAAAGAACTAGATGCTTGACAGGCTGACTGCCAGACGGATGGGAATCTCAGCCTACTGACAATAGAGTGGTCTCTGTCCATGCCATCGAACATGGAGATAGGAGACTTGCAACGCTGAAGTGACCCGCTGGCCACAGAGTGTCCATCCTCAGCAGCCTGCCTCGGTCCTCCTGGGACCTCTTTCCATTCTCTCCCCCAGCCTTCTCCAGCCTGCACCATGGAGGTTTTGGCAATCATGCTAGGCCCTTCTCCTGCCTAAAAATGTAATGATTAACCCTAAAGCCTCAGGTCTCCTTTCCCAAAGCCTTTCATGGCCACATCTGTCGCCTGCTGGAGTGAAGCCTTCCTTCCCTGTGTCAAGTGTTCTACCTCACGGATGCACAAAGTACGAACTTCAAGGCCGTGGGGATCATTCAGCCTGGCCCTGATTTCTACTTATTTTATTTTTTATTTGGTTTGGAACCTGGAATTGAACTTAGGACCTCATGCTGCTGACGTGTTTAAAAGCGAAGGGCCTGGCCCCTAGCCCTGATTTTTAAATATGGGTACATTTAAGCCCAACCCAGGGGACTGGGTGAGGGGCAACTGGGAGTGGCTGTAAGATCTGCAGACTCAGGACAGTGCCCTTTATACCACCTTGGGCTGTCCAGAATGATGCTTCTTGACATCCAATACATAGTCCTTTCGCTCATCCACACAGCATGCAAATCCTTCCATACACAGTGTCCTCTAGAGCACAGGCCAAGGTTTGGGGTAATTTCAGTTTATCCAGGCTCTACTGAAAACAGAAGGCCTTGCATTTTAACTTGAGTCTGTTTTTCTTCCACGGCAGGTGCTCCTGTGCCTTTGACTGACTCAGTCTAGTCGTAAGTGAAGAGGCAGAGCTACCCAGTGACATCTGAGGGTCTCCCAACATTTCAGTGCTGGGCCTACAGATGCCATTGCAATCCTCTGTTAGGAACAGAATTCTTTTATTCTCTACATTCGTTACTACACTGTCTGATCTGTACCCACCAGAACCCCAAACCTCTCCAACTATAGACTCCTACTCTTCCAGCCCTCTAGATTCTATGGCTCTTTAAAGTTACCTGAATTGTTAGAGTTGTTGTACTTCACTGAATGTTCTTCACTGTTTTCAATAGCAGATCGTTTTGATTTCTTTAAAAATAAAAGGAGAGGGAAGCAAAGTATCAACACACTGAATCTGAGAGTCAGAATTAAAAACCATAAAAAAAAAAGAATTAAAAATCTTCCAGGCATACAGTTTAACTAGCCATAGACAGAGTCATTTTTAAACTCTTAACTCAATACAGTGAAGAAGCCACAAGCCAAGGGGGAAATAAAACCAAGAATGCTGAATTTACTATCTCAGGCCAATCATTACGTCCAATCACATCATGCCATAATGAGCCCAGCAAGCCAGAAAAGTATATGGTCTGCTGCTCTACTAATATTATGTGGCTTTTTAAAAACTACAAACCAATCATCTGGAAACACTTTCAGCTTTCCAGGAGATATAGCAAAAAATCTGTATTATTAAATGTAGACCTTTAACCTTGAATTTTTTCTTGTGTGCGGTCAAGAATTCACAGGGAGAATTCAGAGACCCCAGGCTTACCTTCCGAGCCAAAATCTTTCTCTTTTTCCTTTCTTCTTCAGATCCATGGTGTGACTGAGCTCTTGTCAGTCTTCGATGCTGGTGAATCTTTAAGAGACCATAAACCCCCATAAATGTAAGCATATACTATAGGCAGTTTTCTAATGAAACTTTTCTCTCCAAATCAAATTATTTGGAAAAAAAAGTTTTCTTTGCTAAGCCTCTCTGCCTCCTGGCTTGGATCTAGAGGTCTGGAGGAAGAGTATACTAGGGGATGAAGCACTTTCTACTCCCCAGCTCCTCCTTCCTTCTTTTTTATAAAGAATGTGGCCCATGGCGGCATCTGTAGAGTACGATCGTGCCTCACCACCACATCTGGCACCCCCTGATCACAGAGGATGACCACCCTTTGTACATGGGTCAGTTTCTCCTCAGACTGAGCTACTGAGAGCACAGTGAAGTATTCAGTTCTAGGTTATAGTATCCAGTTCAGAACCTGATTAAGAGCAAATATGCACAAAATGTTTACAGAGTGAACAATCTGTCAAAAGACAGCTAGCATGAAGACCATGGTAGAGGGTGGGGACACTAAAAGATCACAGGGCAATGGGAATGACTACTAATTTACCTGTTTCTGTTCTTCAATTAGTCTCTTTTCTATAGATTCTTTGGCAATTCTCAATGCCTCTTTTAATTTTGTGGGAATCTAAAAGAAGAGAAAAGCACATCAATGAAGTAGCTTGAGATTCTGAGAGCTAGAGGCACCGAGGACAGCTGGTTATGAGGAAGGCAGCCCTCTGAAATAAGACTGGTTAAAGCTGCTACTGAATTCTAGCACAGTCGCATTTCAATCCCCAGGCTCTCCAGCATTTTGGTAATGAATATATTAACACGATACAGATTTCAAGTAATTTGAATGGGATCTCAAACTGCCAAAACAATTTTAAAGAAGAAAAACACACTTGGAGAAGACTCAGACTTCTTGCTTTTGAAACCTATTACATATCTACAGTAACCAAAACTCTGGTCCTGACATAAAGACATGCCCAGACCAATGGAACACAACAGAGAACCTCAAAATAAATGCTGCTGAATATGGCCACATGATCTTTGACAAAGGCACTAAGAACAACACAGAGAAAGGACAGTTTTTCTGATAAGTGGATTTGAGAAAATTGGGCTATCTACATGCAAGGGTTAGGGGCTAACCCTTACCTTCCAGCATATATGAAAATCAACTCAAAATGGGTTCTAGACCTAAATGCAAGACTAAAAACTGTAACTCACGAAAGAAAAAAATAAAACTTCATGATATTGGATTTGGCAATGATTTTTTGGATATGACACCAAAATATAAAAACAAACAGTAAAAGGAAAAAGATAAATTGGATTTCTTTAAGATTTAAAAGTTTTGGGGGCAGGGGATTTAGCTCAGCGGCATAAGCGCCTGCCTTGCAAGTAGGCAGTCGTGAGTTTGATCCCTGGTACCGATAAAAATGAAAAAGACAAAAAAAAAAAAAAAAAAAAAGATTTAAAAGTTTTCTGTAACAGGGGGCTGGGGATTTAGCTCAGCGGCATAAGTACCTGCCTTGCAAGGAGGCTGCCGTGAGTTTGATCCCCGGTACCGATAAAAATGAAAAAACAAACAAACAAACAAACAAAAAAAAAGTTTTCTGTAACAAAGGACACTACTAACAATGAAAAGCCAAATATTTGCCAATTACATATTTGATAAGGATTTAATACCCAGGGACATACAAAGGAACTTCTGTAACTCAACAATAACAAAAAAATATGTAACCCAATTTAAAATTGGGTAAAAGTTCTAAATAGACATTTTCCCAAACAAAATATACAAATGGCCAAAAAGCAAGCATATGGAAAGATGCTCAGCATCTCTAATCACTACAGAAATGCAGTGCAAACCACACTGAAACACCAGCTCACACACACTAGGATGGCCACTGTGAGAAGAAATCAGCAAGTGTCTGGGTATGGAGAAATTGGAACCCCTGTACACGGCTGGTAGGATATAAAATGGTACAGCCACTAAGAAAATAAAAAACAAAAACAGATCTACCATATAATTCAGCAATTCTACTTCTGGTTATATAGTCACAAAAAATGAAAGTAGGACCTCAAAAAGATAGATCTGTGTACTCATGTTCATTACAGCATCGTTCAAAATAGCCAGCAGGTAGAAAGAGCCCAAATAATCCAGCATAAAAAAGAGATAAAGAAAATACGGCTTGTGTGTGAATACACTGACACACAGAAAATTATTATTCAGCCTTTAAAAAGAAGCAAAAAAAAATTTTTTTAAAGGCAGGCTGGGGAATATGGCTCAGCAGCACAGAGCCTGTCTGGCAAGAGTGAGGTCCTGAGTTCAATTTTTGGTATACAAGCGCACGCGCGTACACACACACACACACACACACACACACACACACACGCACACACAGCAAATTTGGTTGAATGTTACAACATGGATAAATCATGACTAGGTAATGCCAAGTGAATGAAATGATTTAATCACAAAACACAAATTCTCAATGTTTCCTTTGAGTCTGTGGGGATCTGAAAGGGAGAGGGCATCCTCTACTGAGTAACACTGCTGGAGATTCAGAGTCCTGGAGTCAAGGAGGAGCCATCAGCAAACACAATGTAACATAATGCATATACAATGCAATTCTGCTTATCTCAGGTATCCAAGTGGTCAAATCACAGAAAGAGAAAATAACATGATGGTTACCATGAACTAAGAAGGGGAAACAGAAATTGTTCTGTAGGTATAGAGTTCCCATTATAGTCCATTACACGACAATGTGAAGACAATTATACCACTGAACTGTACATGCACAAATGGTGAAGAAGGCTGTGTGTGTAATTTGTAATTTCAGACTTGTAATTTCAGCTCCTCAGGAGACTGATGAGTGCTTGATCCAAGTTCAAGGTCAGCCTGGGCAGCTTCAAAATAAAATTTAAAAAGAGCTGAGAGGTAGTTCAGAGGAAGAGGGCTTGGCAAGGCCCTAGGTTTAATCCCCAGTAAAACACACACACACACATACACATTAAGTAGGTAGATTTTTGCTACAATTTTAAAAATACATGAAGCTTACTGGAACATACAAATTCAAGTAATTATAATATTTATAACTTTAGAGAAAATTTCTCTGCGATTGGCTTATATTTTGAATCTCACAAGATTAACTCTTTTTCCTGTTGGGGAATAATTATAGCCAAATCCTGAATTTATTTTTTTAAACTATGAGGAGTGGAGGCCTGGAAAACAGACATGCTGAATTTTTATTATTCTTTTCGAATTTAAATTTAAAAAGTATTCAGCGTGTAAGATAGTCAAATGGCTCAAAATCCAAAATGTGTAAAAAGGTACATAGGGAAAAGCCTCCACCCCATCACTACTTCCTGTGTAACTTCCTACAAAGTCAATGCATATACAAGACACTTATGTTAGTTTTTTAGAATCACATTGATTATGTTTATTTTGTTTGTGGAGACAGGGTCTGTTAGGCAGTTCAGGGTGACACTGAACTCACCACGTACTCCAGGTTGACCTGAAACTCATGGCGATCCTCCTGCCTCAGCCTTCTACGTGCTGGGAGTGCTGGGATTAGTAATCCCAGCTGACAGGATGGGACTCAGACCAAGGCTACTGCCTCACCTGGCCCCGTCCCACAGCAAGGATTATCTGAGTCAAAATGTCAAATGCTGAGTTTGGGAAGCGCTGCTGCAGATAACGGCCAGTGTCCCAAGAGCATGGCAGGCATGGTTCTGGTTCTCATCTTCCCAGCCCACGATTGCCCTGTGACTCCCTCCACTGCTGCCCCAGGCTTCCTTCCAGACTGCCCTCTAGAGGCGGGTGGGTAACTTTATGCAAGGTATGTGATATCCTGCTTTTTTTTTTGTACCGGGGATCAAACTCAGGGCCTTGCACTTGCCAGGCAGGTGCTTATGCCGCTGAGCTAAACCCCCGGTTATATCCTGTTTTTTAAACCTTGGCCCAAATCATAATAATGTCCGTGTCACTAAAATGCTTGTATAAAGTGAAACTGTTAGATAAAAAATTTACTTTATTAGACAAAAATTTCTTCAAACAACTATGTTATATATTATAAAACTAGACTTTAATTGTAAAATATTTAGATTATTTCCAAATTTTCCCTATTGTATACCTTTTCTTTTTTAGTTTAAAAGAGGTGATTTTCAAGCCAACTTACTTATATCACATGCTAAGAAAATGATTTGCTTTACCTTAAACTGTGGCTTTTCAGAAGTGGTTAATAAAACATCACTGAATAACCTGTAAAGAAAAGAAACAAACAACAAAGTCTTCATCAAACAAGGTGGCTTCTCAATCTGTGAGCACAGCAGATGAGATGTGTTTGGCCCCTGGAGTCTCCCTGCTCCCACCACCTGCTCCAACCCGCATGTAATGTGAATGGAGAAAGGCACAGGAATGTACAGGTGGATCCCCCAGTGTGACCTCCGGACCTTCCTACTCTCCCGCCTAGGGAGTGTCACCAGGAGACTGTGCCGGTGGGGCACCAGAAGTTATTTCCCCATTGTAGGGCAATATTGTATTTGAAGGAAAAAAAAAATTTTTTTTTTTTGTAAATAGCAACTTTCAAAGATATTGCAAATGTAAGTAGTAGATGCTTCTAAACAGAATAGCTGTTTTTTCTGTTTTTTTCTTACCTCAATAAAATTTATTCTAGAGCTCAGTAAAAGACAAATGTTCAAGTAAGTACAAAGGAATTATTCTGATTGGAATACTTTGCTTCCAATTGTTTCTCATGATTCATTTAAAAAACAGCAGCTTTGGGGAAGGTATATAAATTTTCCTCAAAAGTATGCTATCAAAACCAGTAGCACGGGCTGAGAGTACATTAGCAAGGGCTGAGCTCAGCAATGTGGCACTTGTGTAGCCTGCATGAGGCCCTGGGCTGGATCCCCAGTGCCCGCCCCCAGGTCAGAAAGCAGTAGCTCGGGACCTCTGAATCACTTTGACTGTAATGGTTGTTGAATAGTGATAGTGTCTGCATCCTGTGACACTTTCCTTGAAACGTCCCCCTTCTGTAAGGAGAGATAATTCATCCAAGCAGAAATGACAAAGTCACTTTTCCCCACAGTGCTCCCCAAAGTCCTCGCCCTCCCTGCCATTTACTTGCAGACAACACATTTTAATTGACATGGGTCACACCTCTCCCATTGCCGTTCTCTAGACTGAAGCCCACAGGATGGAGAGACTTAGGTGAAAAAAAATACTTGGATTATAATAGGAAAATGGGAGAACTGGAAGAAAGAAAAATGCAAGTTCAAAGCCAGCCTGGGCAACTTAGCAAGACCCTCTCTCAAAATTAGAAAGGGGTGGGAAGTAGCTTGGTGGTACAGTACCCCTTGTTTCAATCCCCAGTACCAAAAAACCAAACTAAATCACAACAGAACAAAACAAAGCAACAATAACTTGTAGAAAGAATGGCTAAAGAACCTGAAGTCATCTCTCTGCCTCCTCTGAACTCTGACTGCACACACAAGCTCTCCCTTGCCTGGTTCACATCTGTCACTGTTTCCTTAGGACACCTGTTAGGTACCAAGCTGGTAAAGACAAAAGAGCTCAGTGGCACAGCACCTGCTTGGCAAGTGCAAGGTCAGGAGTTTGATCCCTGGTACCAAAAAAAAAAGAGAGAGAGAAAAGAGCATCAGGCTCAGGAAACCCTGATCCGCTCTTCCCCTGGCTTTAAGAGAGAATGTCTTCTGAGTTCAAAGTCTACAGCACAGTGCCCAGGACAAGCTGGACGTTTCACAGATTATACCCACCACGAGGAAATAACCAAACAGAAGCACAGACCCCCAGAAACACGCTGCCTCCTCAGGAGGGCAGCCCTCACTGTGAGGCCCTGTGACTTGTGAGTCATCCGCCACCAGTGACCACCGCATTGTGGTAGATTCAAGGAGGAGAGGTGTGGGGCAGCGCTGCTTTGGCGTTTCCTAAGCTGGGGTGCTACAGATATGCACACAGTGCTAAAGCTGACGGAGAAGAGACACACAAGGGAGGATGCTGATGTTCAAGGAGAGCAATCAGACCAGCAGCAGAGAGGTCACGAGGACACATGTCACTATGCTGCAAGTGAGACATCTGGAAGCAGGTCACTTCAACTCTGCAGGGACAGCACCTGAGTCCTAGGCCCTTGCGCACAGCGGTCCAGTGTTCAACAGTTATTCAGATTACAACTGACGCATATGATTGACTTACGGCATCTGTAAGAGCCGGGAGACGGTAGGCATGCCATTTTTACAGGCTTCACAAGACAGCGTAGACTCCAACACGGCCACTTGAAATGAACAGATACACATTTTAGTTCCACAGCACACTGCTGGCGAACCCACTGGGCGATGAAAAGTCTGACACAGCTTTGCAACAGCTGTCTGCAGGCTGATCAGAACAGTGTCAAACTCTTCACACACAGACAGATGGCGTACGCGGGGGAGGGGAGCGCTAGCAACACTGGAGTCACCCAGGACTCAAGAGACATGCCTCAGAAACCTCGTGCTCACAGAAAGCCAAGTGGACTTCAAAGGCAACTAGAGGAAGAAATCAACAGCTCAGTCATAAAAATGTTCTCATAAAAGCGAAATAAACACTATGCAGAAGCAAAATCCTGAACTTGGAAGACATTTTGCTGCTGGCTTGTTTTTAACCAAAACTAGTACTTGGGAGGTCAGCTGTTGATTAACTCAGCATCCAACACCTTGGAGGCTATAAGGAAGAGCAACCACAGTACACCCTTCAGTTTCAGTTGTTCACACCCAACACGTAAGATGCTCAGGACCCATTCTCATGAGCTGCTTCACTTGACACATGCATGATGCTCTGCGCAGCACTGACCTGCACAGGCTCAGCACAGTGGTCTGGGAGCTTACCTGCCCTTCTCTTGCCGCCTGGCCCTAGTTCAGAGCTGGCTGTGGGAGACTGGGAGGGTCCCTGAGCCTGCACCAGCTCCTGCACAAGGTGCTTCCCACCTGTCCTCAGGAACACTGGAAGCGCTCTGGGATCCAGTTTGTTTGGGGGCTGAGCCCCTGACTGGGCCTGCTGGGCTCTTATCTATCCTGGCACTTGTGTTCCTTTTTAGTCACATGCCAGCTGTGGTCTCATTCTTGATACCTGCCTGAGTCCTTAAGACCAGCCTCAAGTTGCTCAGCCCTGGATTCTGCATTCGATTAAGACTACATTCAGGGGGCTGGGGATTTAGCTCAGCAGCATAAGCGCCTGCCTTGCAAGCAGGCAGTCGTGAGTTCGATCCCCGATACCGACAAAAAAGAAAAAGACCAAAAAAAAACCAAAAAGACTACATTCATGTGTTTCCAAAATTCTGATATATTTTACAGAAAGTTTCTTAAAGGTCTCAGTCTGAGAGACAAGCCATTGGCAGTGTCTCTGGCTGTTTTGGACTCTAGAAAGGGGATGAGCAGCTCTGCAGACTACCAGGACCCTCGAGGCCTGCCCTAGCCCCGTACTGACCCACAGCCAAGGATGGTGCAGGAGGAAAGGAGTCCACAGGCACCGAGTCAGGCGGTCGTCCATAAGTCATCTCGTACAGTAAGTGACCAAAGCAGTGGACATCCACGCTTTCCAATGTCTGTGAGAGAAAGATAGCAGTGCACATTCATGTTTCGGTTTGGCTTTATGCCTCCTATGCTCCTGCCCCAGGCTTCCACTGAGAAACAAGGCCCACTCCGAAATGAAGCTCACGAGGCAGCTGGGCACAGCGGCACATGCTTCTAATCCCAACACTGGGGAGGCCGAGGCAGGAGGATCGAGGTCAGCCTGAGCTACACAGCAAATCACCGTCTCAAAAAACCCACACCAAACCAAAAGAAGGAACCCTTCTAACCAAAAGGTGTGGTCTGCCCTCTGTGGTTTTCCACTCTCCTCCCTTCCCTGCCCCACCTGGCACTTCAGTTTAGTCTGCGATTCCCCTCCCGGTGAACCTCCGGCTGGACTACCCGAGTCACTCACATTGATCTTCCTGAACTGTGTGAAGTAGGGCCGGTAGAAGGAAGGGAGGCCCAGTAAAGAGTTCTCAAGGTCCAGCAGCCGGCAAGTGTCACCGTCCAGCATCACGTTGGAGGCATGAAGATGCCCGTAAGGAAACCCCTTGTCATGTAGGAACTTTAGTACCTGTTAACAAACATGTGCAGGTTATATTTCCCCCAACTCATTCAGATGCAAGATGGAGTCGCTGGGGGTCCAGCTCAGGGGCAGAGGCAGCCCTGGCTTAAACACCCAATAGGAAGCCCTGGGTTCAATCTTTAGCCAAAAGCAAAAACAAATAATAAGAACACTTTTGTCTTTAACTCAGTACTTTCTGAAACAAAATCATGCAGTGGGGAGACTGCTGAAGAAAAATGCCACCTCCACTTTTTGGAAAGGGGTGACACTGAATGCTTCCCAGGAGCAAAGCTCCCAAAGAACAGAGAAGCAGCCTGAGAAAGCAGCTCTGATGCCAAAGGCTTCGCTTGGAGCAGCTTCTGTCCCAGCTCTCCTCAGGCAGTAGATCCTCCTTCCCCAAGAGTTAAGTCGTCACACCAGTGCCTCTGCCACTACTCAAGAGGCTGAGCTGAAAACAGCTCTAGTCTCATCTTTGCCCAATTCACTTATTAATAGGAACACACAGCAGGCTTCCACAAAAAGAATCACATTTTGAGCTGCCATTTAAACAAACAGTGGCTCCCTGGAGTACAGATGGCTCTACACATCTGTGCAAAGACCTGGAGAAACCAGCTAAGAAGGTGCCCAGGGCAATGCACTGAGAACTAAAAGCAAAGAACACAACAGCTCTTTCTAGTTTTAAAAATCTTATTTTCTCTTAACTTATGTTCAAAAATATATTAGCAGTGGTATATGTATATAATTTATAGTTAAATAGATGTGACATGGGGGAGTGTGGTGCTTAAGTATTTTTACTGCAAAATCTGAGAAGCCTGGAGAACATTATTTAGTGACATGGAAAAGGCTTGGCTTGGCTCTTCTTCTCCTCTGTCTGTCTGTCTGTCTCTCAGTGCTGGGGATCAAAGCCAAGGCCTTTGGTTTTAAGTATACTAACACTGCACTCTGTCTCCAGCCCCAGTGGGAGTAGGTATCACTGCTGTTCACATTTCTACAAGGGAGACATAGGGACATATCTTAGCACAGAGATACAGATCAACCTAAGATATCACAAAAGCTATCCACTTGGCAAAATTCTTAAAAATCAAACACAAAATTGTAACAGCTAAAGCTTTCGGAATTTAAGTTCTTGTCACCTTCATTTCAAATATTTGCTTGTTGGGGTAGAATACATTTACTGTCACCTAACAAATAACCAATGTCAGTGAGTTTGGATATTATCTGAGAACTTTTCCATAACTTTGGATGAAACTGCAGGGCAACTTCAACAAAAGTTAAGTATCTCTTACCTCTAGTATCTGTCGCCCATATGTTTTTATCTGCTGGAGTTCAAGGCCCTGAATCTTCTTAGGGTTGCAGTACTTCCTTAGGAATGGATCCTTTGGTTTTGCCTTTAAGGAAGAACAAAACACATGTAAGGAAGTGGCAGAGGAACCACTGAGCACCTGAGTTTCCTAAATAGACACGAGAGACACCGCCAGGCAGCCCAGGGGATGTGGAGTACAAAACACAACAATCTGTGCAGCTGAGAGGTTGACCTGGGTTCTGGCGCTTTCTGTGTTCCGGGGATTGGCTTAGTCTCAGCCTTAGCAGTCCCCAAAGTCTCGCACATTGTTAGAGCTCTTGGGTACTGTGTTAACAAGTTCAAGACACAAACTTTCAAACAGACCCAAAACAGCAGTCTATAATCCCCAAACCTCTCATCTTACCCTCAAGTAGGGAAAGGAATGTTATTTAACCAAACTGGATAGAGTTTTTCCAGCTAAATCCAAAATTAAAATCAAATCCTTAAGGTCTTGCTTCTGGAACCATAGTACTAAGCACAGTAATTAACAAGTTCCAAAGGACCTGAGAACTTAATGCATGAACTTTCCCCACAAATACCTTGTAGATCAGATCCTTCAAAGTTCCTTTTTCATTAAACATCCTGATTAGCAGTGCAGAGGATTCATTAGCTGTGGCAAAAGTAACCCGGTAAACATAAGGGTGCTGCCAAGACAAAAAAGAAATCCACATTGACTTGCCTAAAGATCTAGGTCCTTTTAGGTCCAGAGACTGGTGAGGCAGAGTCAAGTGCCTCTATGGTGGTTTTGCTGCACACAAATGAGACATTCCCTGAAGAGATGGAGTTTTCAAGTTATGACATGATAACTGGTTCCTCCTTCCGAGGACAGAAAGTCTAGTGACGAAAGGAGCTGCAAGCTGACACAGTGAGCTCAGCTTGTGAAGGGGTCTGCTTTGGTACATGCATTCTTACAGTTCCGGCTAAAGCACTGTAGAAGTGAGGAAAAGTCTGAGTTTTGGGAGTAGTGGTCTTTTGTTTCTGTTTCTTGGGGACTTCTGAGACAGGCTGTCACTGTGTAGTTCAGGGTGGCCTGAGTTCACTTTGTAGCCCAGCCTGGCCTCAAACCCCTGGGGCTCCTCCCACCTCAGCCTCCCACCCAGCCAAGTGCTGGGATTACAGGCGTGCACCACCACACCTGGCCAGGAGTAGTGGTTTTGATATTCTGCATCTATAAACTGGCAAAACATACAGCCAAAGCTGAAAGCAATCTCAAGCAGGGATGCGGATAAAAGTGTCTGTCACAGCTTTGCCTGGTATTCAGTGCTGCTGTCTGGATGCCAAGCCAGGGGCCTGACAGCCAGGAAACAAACAAAAGCAGCATCTTCTGGCATCACAGCCCTTTGGGAAGGCAGCGGAGAAGGCTTTTCCTGCCTTTCTACAGACATCTGCAGTATGATGAGTCACAGTGTCCTCCTCAGATGGGGACACTGGCACAAAGCAAGTCGGGCGAGGAAAAGACAAATTACTTAATGCATGAAAGGAAAGTCCTCATTTAACCTGGAATGAACTGGTTTCATAGTACAAAGCCCAAAGGAGTATCATGACAATTTGAACCCTGGGAGCTGAGAATACAAGGATCTGGGACACAAAGGGGATTGGAAAGTGTGGAAAGGTACGTGTGTCTAAGAAAATGTAATAACTGACCATGAAGTTTCTCCTGGTATCACATCAGAATGGCTGCTGCTGATTTAACAGCTTCATTAAGACATGCTTCACATGTATTACAGTTCACCCACTTAAAGAAGCCAACCAGCCAAACAGCTTTCAGTATATTCACAGTAAGATGCTATCATACTCTGTTCTAGAATACTTCTGTCACTCCAGAAAGAAGCTACAGGAGTGGAATAAAAAATCCCCAAATTCATACAGATATAACCAAAAGGGCTTCAGGGTATGGCCCAGTGGTACAGCACTTAACTAGCATGCAGGAGGCCCTAAGTTCCATCCCAGCAACCTCTCAAAAAAGGAGCGGAAGAAAGAATAGAGGAAGGAAGAAGGGATGGTCTTCTTTATGGCAGAGTGTCTCCTAATAAATAGGAGGGAATGCCGAATACTCAAACTAATGAATTTGATGTAGGACATTCAGATAGTCTCAAAATATCTCCCCATACACTATTTATTCATTCTAGATATTTATCTTTGGAGAACAAGTCTGGGTACAAATAGTTAGCTAACACTTGTTAGTTTGTCTTTTTCCCTCTGGTTCTGGAGGCTGAAACCAGGACCTTTGCACTGAGCTACGTCCCCGGCCTTCTTAAATTTTATTTTAGACAAGGTCTTGCTATGTTACCAAGGCTTGCCTCACATTTGTGACCCTCCTGCCTCAGTCTTCCACACAGCAGAATGACGTGCACGTGCCACTGTGCTCCTCCGCTTTTTTCTTTTTATGTAACAGCCAAAGGTAGACATCCAAATGTCTAGCAAATTAGTTGAATAAACTAAGGCACAGCCAATGGTAATTCTATGTAATCAGTAATAAGGATCAGGTGCACCATTAATAAAACAAACAAACAAACACCAGATTTGAAAACCATAAATATATCGCTTCTCAGCCTTTTGGCTAAGATCAAATGTAAAACCATAAATATATATTTTCAAACAAAATCATACAAAAACTCTAAGACAATAACTTTTCTGGTTCCTACTTCTAGTTGGTTGGGATTTAATCCCAGGTTAGCTTCATTTTCTTATTTTTATTCCCCTGTGCCTTCTGACTTTTACAATTAATGTACTCTTGTGTGACTTGTGCTTTGTATGAAGCAGATCTTTATTAAGGGAAACATAAAGTGCTTGAGATGTAATCCAGAGGTAGAGTGCTTGCCCAGCATGATGAAGCACCTGGGTTCAATCACCAGCACCACAAAAAAGAAAGAAGGAAAGGGAGGAGGAAAGAAGGAAAGAAGGGAGGGGAGAGAGGGAGAGACCTGGGTTTAAAAGTTTATGCTGACAGTTTGTGTCCTACAACCAAACTCAAGGAGGCAGCATTTACCATGGACCTCCATCACCCCTCACTAAAACCATATTTCATTCAATGCTTGGTTTCACTAGCTTAACAGAACATTTTGGCTTTTTTGTTTTTTGTTTGTTTTTTATTGGTACCAGGGATCAAACTCACAACCACATGCTTGCAAGGCAGGCGCTTATGCCACTGAGCTAAATCCCTAGCCCCATTTTGGCTTTTTTTTAATTAGTTTTTTGAGATATAGTCTCAGTAGGTCAGGCTGACCTTGAACTTACTATGTAGCTCAGGCTAGCCTCAAACTTGGCAGTGATCCTCTTGCCTCAGCTTCCTGAGTGCTGAGATTACAGGTATGTGACTGGCTATAAATGTAATTTTAAATGCCTCTGATCTATGGTAGTGCTATACAACTCTGGCCTTCATGTAAATCCTCTGCACCTGTCCATTCTCTCGAGCCTATTGAGTATTTCTAGCTCTTCTGGCCCTGTTCACCCTCAAAAAAACACTGCAAGGCTGTGATCAACACTGAAAATAGCAGGACTCATACTTACCAAACAGGAAGGCAGAAGTTTGATCAGACACTGAAAATCTTTATCCAACAAGTATTTGTCAGGGCCAAGATCAGCCTGCAAACATGAGAAGAAGTATGAGGGTCCTGCCTTGGCATCAAAAGAAAAATTTCTTCTAAATCATTCCCTCCAATAGACCACCCAGATATCTGACTGTAAACCAAAATAACAACCACACCAAGTCTAGCTCTTCAAGGCCTCTCTGGAGAGGCCACACATAAACACACAAATATTAGGGCTTTACTGTAATTTCACGTGGTTTCACTGACCACTCATCACTAGAACACCCCAAGTGGTAAGAGAAATAAAGTAATGCCCAAATATTTTCTTTGGACCTAAACTCTGAAACTGTCAACCCTAAAAAGATTTCAGAGAAATATTTTAAGCTGTTTCTGTTTCTTTCCAAACATTTACTAGCTGACTAAATATATCTAAGGTAACCAAATGAATAGCAAAGTAATGTAAAATGACTGTCCTTTGATGTGGGACTGAGGAAACCCTGACATTATCACTGAGGTCTGCAGTACAGCTCTGTAATCCTCCTGTCAGACGTCTAAATTTCCTGAAACAAAACGGAAGCCAAAAATTAGCTTACCCAGCTTAACACCAGCCGTTCCTTTGGTTGATTTTTAATCTTCATCAAGAAGTATTTTTTCCTAATCCTCCAGCCTGCCATACAAGCAGAAATATTTGTAGCTCCATAATTTTTATAACAAATGATTTAAGTTTCACTGATTAAATAATTAATTGAAATTAAGTTTGGCCATGTTACCCACAGCCATATAATCATGTGTAAAACAATCATTTGGTATTATTCACATGGTGAAGGCCACACTAAACAACAACAAAGGAATTATGCTCTTCTTGGAAACAGCAGGAAACAGTACTTCATTAAGATTCAGAGAAAAGGACAGGTGAATAAGTGGTGATTCTCAAAGTTACTGCCATCTAACTTCCCCCCAAAGATGAAACATTAAAAGTTATGGTCTACATCCTCAAGCAGTAGGGAGGCAAAAAAGGACGAAAAGCCACCAGATGTAAGAGCTTTCTTGGGATAGGAATCAAATCCATCACTAAGAATCTAGTCTGTGGTCTATCTGTCACATAGAATGAGCAGGTCAGGTTCTCACCTATGTCTTTCAACGGTTCCACCACCTCCCACTTTGGTTCTGATCGGAAGAACATGGAAACCTGTTGTAAGGCAATTTCTGCAAAGACATTTTAGAAACTCATTAGTCAAACTTATTATGAGAGAGTCACATGCTTCATAATCATTCACAAAATCGTTATAGTCTATGACCTTGAAATACTTAATTACAAAATATAATAAGAAGTTAAAAACAATGTGGAATTGTAAACTGGACCATGGAAGAGATAAAGTATATCAGTGGGAAAGCTGATGAAATCTGAGTAATGCCTATATTAAATTTACCAATGTTAATTTCTCAATTTGATAAAAGAGCATGGTTATATTACAAGTAGCTAAGTTAGACAGATATTAATACACAGTCAGAGAGGGATCAGGTCTTCAAGGACATCAGCACAAAAAATATAGACAACAGAATTGTGGCTGGAGGCAAATCTGGAGAGAGCCAGACCTCAGGATGGAGAAGCAATAGCCAGGTCTGTGAGCCTCCCTAGAGATAGACAGCAACCTGAGAGTGCTATAATCAGCGCCACCCCGTCCAGGGGGCCCAAACAGGCATCACACACATAAGTGAGTGACCGGAAAGTCTGGATCCACACTCCTCTCCATGTACCCTCGCTGTATGACTTGTTTCCCTATTGGATCAGTATCATTAGCTAAGCTGCTATATCTGTAATCCCATAGGTTAATTGTAGTCTGACCCATGTTGCACCCACATTGTGACTTTGCTCTATAAATTATCTTGACAAAGGATAGCCAATCACTTGGGACCCCTCCTGGAAATCCAAGAGTAAATTCTCCTTCCCCTTATTTCCAATGAAACTTTCTGTCCTAAACTCCTTGGTTTGTGACTTCATTCCTCAATGTGTGAGACCAGCTACTATGTGCATTTGACAGCTAATGGGTCGGGAGCTGTATTTTCCCTGTATCAGGAATAGAAGATGTTAACACTGGTGAAACTGTGTGGAAAGGGACACATGGAAACACTACTACTGCTGTAACTTCTCTGTAAAATTATTCAATAATCCAATTTATTGGAAAAGCAAGAAATACAATTATTAATGATAGGAAACTACATAGTTTTTAAAATTGGAAAAATCTAAAATATGTAAAATAGCTGGCCTAAGACAAGAATTCAGTATATGAACCAGACTACAATCCAAGCCCAGGATTCAAAATATGTTCCAAGGTCTGAACCAGCATTTAATGTTGGTCCAAGTGATATTTATTCCATCTTCATTCCTCATGAAATTATAGCTTTCACCAAAAAGGAACGAGTAGCCTTAAATATACCCTGGAAATAAAACCAATGTTTTGGCAAAACATCTATGTTCAGGAACAACAGTTCCATTGTTGGAAGTCACCGGGTATCTATTTACTGGAAAAAACATCCATGCTTTTCTTTTTGGTATTTGTCTATCATGCAAGTGCTTCCCCCTTTAAAGATGACAATGAGGAGAGGAAGTTCTTTAAAGTTCATTGTATTAAGAAACTTATCAGAATAACTGTGCTTTTTTACATTTCCTGAGAAGAGTGCATCTGTAAGCTGCCATTTCCTTTCTGCTGACAGCAGTGCATCAATGAAGCTGCTCCCAAACCCTGAAAGCAAACAGCTACGCTCCCAGTGCACCATGGAATTTCACCTCTGCCTAGTGCGAATTATGGTCCAGCGAGACCAGGACCAGGCATGTGAGGGATTCTCACTAGAAATGTTCTGCCCAAGCCAAAGACCTCCTCTGGAGTTAGCAGCTGAGGGCAAACAGTATCACTGTGGTATACTTCACAGCTCTTCTGCATTAAGTGATTTGGGGAAGAAAACAATTTGCTAGTCATTTGTTTAATGACTCGATATGTGACTTGTCAGTGGCATCTGCTAAGAAAATAAATGACATTTTCATTGTCATTCGTACCCTAGTATGCAACAAACCATTTGGAAGGACTGACAGTTGCCAGAAGCACGTACATCTTTTTTTTTTTTTTTGTCTTTTTCCTTTTTATCGGTAGCGGGGATTGAACCCACAACTGCCTGCTTCCAAGGCAGGCGCTTATGCCGCTGAGCTAAATCCCCAGCCCCTAGCACACACATCTTTATCAACAATGCTTTGAGAACCCAACACCATGATATAGAATTTTAGCATTTCCAAAATAATGTGAACGTAAACTTTAAGTGAAAATTATTCCCATCAACTTTGAGGAGTGTGAAAAATAATTTTCAAATTCAGTGCAGTGTCATATCAAGAGACTGTAGGACAGCTGTTTAAGCTCACAGTGAGTCATGATTTCTGAAAAGTCATTAATCAGCAACATTTACTTTATGTCATTATATACATACAGTTTCAAGAACAGGGAAATATTGTCAACAAAGGAACATGCTAAACTTTAACTTTCCCACTGATCTGTGACTTACTATTAAACAAAGCACATGGCTACCATGTTCCCACAGTCAATGTTCCTACAATCAACTCATCCCGCCCTCAGCAGCACCCAGCCTCCTCCAGTGCACACCAGCAGCCACTCCTAGTTCCCGGCTGTGCAGCCTCACACTCTGTGCTCTGAGGTGCCTCCTTCCTCAGCCTCCCTCAAATGTCCACCTGCCCCATCCCACTGTCCAGCCCTCCTGCTCCCCTGGCCGACTCCCTTCCAGAACACTCCGGTGCTCCCTCTCCCACAGAGCTACTCCATCACAGCAGGGCTACTCTTCCAGTACTAGACTGTACACTGCGGCCGGAGCCACGCCTCCTCATCTGGGGGAAGCCTTCTCACCCCCTCCCCTTCAGGCTCACTTCCACTCACACCAGTCTGCAGGGCCGCCTTATCTCTTCCAGAATTCTCATCCCCAGGGCTGCACCATCTGCACCTCCCAACCCTCACCCTCCTCCCCTGGCCAAGGTGCAGTGACCACAGGCCTCACTTGTCACCTCCTGGCATAAGTGCTCTGGGATGGCAGGACTATGGGGAAGGGCTCTTCCTTTCTCCTTGCTGCATGTACAGCACCTGGCACACAGTAAGTACTTCATAAGTATTTCATAAAGAAAGAACTAAAGGTTCAAACCATGGCAGTGCATGTGGAACTGCTCATTAGAGCATGAAACCCACGGAAAGGAAGGCCTGTGTGCCCTCGATTTCTGTAGCACTAGTGGACATACATGGAGTGCTGGTAAGCCAGCTCCAGACAGGGAATAGAGCTGAGCCTTCCCACTGGAAGGATCAATTGCACAGACAGAAGAGTCCCCCAGTCCCCACCCTGCTTGCCACCTGAGGCACTGCTCTCAGCAGAAACAGCTCAGCACGGAGTCTGTCTGTCACCTGCAGACACAGGATGACAGGGCAAGAGATAAGGCACAACAAGGAATTCTGCAGGTCCTGGGACATCTGAGGACACCCGGGCACACCCAAGAATTTACATTGGATGTTTCAAGGACTTTGCCCACTGAGGTGCTTGCTCCTTTCTGTCTTTTCACCTTCTGCCTGCCTGCACCCAGGCACAGTAAATTCCACACCATGCTGCCTTGACACAGCCTGGTGGTCTGGGCTGGTCTCTGCCTTCACATGAGGCGCAGAGGTACCAGGTGTTCCCACCAGGCTGTCTTTCAACTCTGGATCTCACCCTCTCTAAAGCCCCCTGCTTGTTTCAAAAAGATCTCCTATCCCAAGTCTCTCTCTCTGTTTATTCTACTATTTAAGTGATTTCTGGGGCTGCAGGGCTGGAAGAGAAGTTCAACATGCCCTGTTCCGTTCTCCTCTGCCCAGCCTCTAGTTTTTCTAGTATCAGGATCTTGAGGACCACTGAGGGAAATGCTGCTGCTGACGAAGTTGGAACACAACCCAGGTCTCCTGATTTCTGGTTCAAATGATTCTGTGTAGACAGGAAAAAGCCCTTTACTCTGAGGGGACATGGAAGTTTGAGAAGGGAAGATGGCTGGAGGGTACCTGGGGCTTTCAAATGACAGATGTGGCTTTTTAGTAAGATGAAGATGGTACTCTATGTATGTGTTTCGCACACTTCTCACAACTGTGAGTGACCTGTCCTCCCTGTACAATGCCAGCCCTTGGTCCAATTCCCTAACTAAACAAGTATCTGACAAGTCCCCACAAAGGACCAAAGGCCTACATTTACCTTCTGTGGATTTGGTCATTTGGAGTAAGCCAAGAAAAGAACAGAAGGCCCATGGAGCAATTCTAGGCTGAGTACCTGGTAGGCAGGAGGCGGCAGAGCACGCAGCTGACCGTCCCCTGGGGACTCGGTGGCAGCACAGCCCCAAGCCCAGTCACAGCAATGAGCAAGAACAGCGACCTTGAAGCCTGGCCACCACACAAACATGGAACTCAAACACCACAGAACTCAAGCAGGCTGACTTCACAGGGCATCTGTAACTGAGAAGCAGACACCGTCCACACTCACAGAGAGAAGTGCTCCAGGGAAGCAGAGGCCTTACTGCGCATTTCAGGAATGGCTCACACAGAGGAGTGGCCTGACCACAGCTGGTAAGTCAGCTAAGAGGCAAGGCAAGTGCTAATGTTTTATTTAAAGGAGGAAAAAAACCAAGTATCTTTCTGCAAATAGGATCCTTCACCTACTGTTCCATTTAGGGCTCTGCCCTTTAAATAGAAGCAGGGCTTGTGAACACTTGGATCTTGCTAAGTTTCTGGGCCTTTTTATTACCCTCCCACATTAACTTTGGACCCTTGGTAGTGTGGACAATGAGGAGGAAGTTCAGTGGAGGGATAAACAGGGATCAGACAGTCTTCCAGAGGCCAAAAAGCACTTTAACTTAAAAAATCTCATACCAAACAGTAGTCACACAAATGCAGAAGGCCCTTCTTCTCTGCAGATCTTGGTTCCTTTATCTCTAAGAGGACAAGGAGGCTTGGTGTGAGGGTGCATGCCTAAAATCCTAGCACTCAGGAGGCTGAAGCAGGAGGACTGTAATGAGTTCAAGGCCACTTTGGGCAACACAGTAAGTTCAAGGCCAGCCTGAAATACATAGCCAGATCCTGTCACAAAAAACCACACACACCCAAAAAAAGAAAAAAGGGGCAGGGCTGGGGGTTTAGCTCAGCAGCATAAGCACCTGCCTTGTAAGTGTGTGGTCATGAATTCGATCCCTGGTACCGATAAAAAGGAAAAAGACAAAAAAAAAAAAAAAAGGGTGGGGGGAAGGGACGTAATTGTGATAAAACAGCTCCAAGATCTCTAAGATCTCTTCTAGCACTGACCCATGTGACACGCTCCGTGTCAGCAGTAAGGACCTCTACCCTGAGCCTACACCCCTGCCATCAGCCCTGCCTTTGGCACACGGTGTAGCAGACAGCTGTGGTCTGCTGTGTGAACATCACAATCACATGGGCCGGGCACACTGATGGCTGTCTCAGAACACCAGCAGACACTCTTAGGAAAACAGGCAGACCACATGACTAGCACAGAGTGGGGCTGGGCTGATTTGATTAGTCAGTCAGGGTGACTTGCTGACGACAACTGTGGGAACAACTGAGGTCAGTATGGAAAAATGGAAGTTACAAAAGATCCCACTCTAACGTGAGCTGACTAGGGAGCCCTATTCCTAAGTGTCATCATGTCCTTTCTCTATGGGAACCAAAAAACAAGTGGAGGAAGAATGGGCTCCTGGTAACTATGTGATGCTTAATCTTTTTTTTTTTTTTTTCATTTTTTGTTTTTTTGAGACAGGGTCTCATTATGCAGTTCAGGCTGGCCTCAAGCTCACTTTGTAGCCCAGGCTGGTCTCGAACTCACAGCGATCCTCCTGCCTCAGCCTCCTGAGTGCTGGGATTACAGGCGTGAGCCACCACGCCCGGCTTGTGATGTTTAATCTTGTAATTTATAGTAAATGTGAGTTGAAATAAACTTTCCTTCTCTTGGCTCATTCAGGAAAGGCATTCTGCTTAGCCCTACACAGCACCTAACTATAGCAAGTACACAAAGGCAGCTTTACCTCCTTTATTGTGCATGCAACTCACCCCAGGATCTACTAAAATCAGATCCAAATTCAGCAGGTCTGGGATGAGGCTGGAATTCCGCACAAGTTCTCATGATGCCAATGCCAGTGAATGACCCTGTAAGCAGCAGGTCCCTCAAACTTGATAGCACAGTGGGGGCACTCAGGAAACTTCATGTACCACAACCCCGGCCAACAAGGGTTCTGATTTAAATGGCATGCCTGCAGTCTGGGCATCAGGACTTTTTTTTTTAAAGCCTCCCAGGTGATTCTACTATGCAGAAAAGTTTAACATCTAAACAAGCAGATCTCTGTTTCTTCATCTGTGATTCAGAAACAAAAAGTTTCTCCCTCTAATTACACCAAAAACAATGTTATTTGTCTGTTCAGACACTGGCAATCAAACCCCAGCCCTTGTACCAACCAAGCATGTGCTCTGCCACTGAGCTAATCCCAGCCCAAAGCAATGGGTCTGAAAACCCAGTTCTCTGAGAAATTCTCTTCTCTTGAGCACTGACCTATTATACACAGGTTCTTGAGTTCATCAGCACAAAAGATGATCCACTTAGCAAGGAGATGAACAATGCCCATGGTCTACTGAGAAAAACTCTAAGCCTGGTTTGCTTTACCCAGTCATTTGAGTTCTATTCACTGGTTCCTAACTGCAATGATGTTGACTGATCTCTTCCAGGCAATACCACACAGTGTATTAAACATTTAGTTATTCCTCCTGCTGCCTGTTGATGTTGTGTGTGATCAGTACCAAAGAGAAGTCCTTTCCACCTGAGATCCCTGGGGGCTCCCTGATAAGCAAAAGATGAGGCAGAGAGTCAGTCTCTGTGCTTTGCACTTCGAGGTCCCTAGCGAGTAAGTGGAGGGACACAGAAGTAAATCTCTGGAAAACCAGAACACTGAACGCTGCAAATACAAAAAACAGAGTCAAGCTAAAATGACTGAATACACAACTGTGGATTATACCCTCCGTTCTGTCAGAAAAAGATAAAGACAAGACTAGAACTACATAAATATATTTCATATTTTTGTGTGGCTGTATTACAAACATTTTTTATAACTCTACAGAAAGTTCTAATCAAGACTGTCTCTGTAAATAAACAACACCCTCGTACATATATGCACTTTCCCCCAGTGGATGCAGTTTCCCCATGCACATCTCCTGCTGAGAACACAGCCCCAACTGCCCAGAGCTCACGGACTCTTTTGCTTACCAGTGTAGTTTGCAGAATAGTTGTTTGGATCTAAAAACTTCTTAACCAGCTCACAGTTAGACAAGATATGATTTGTGGTGATAACATTGAGATAGTTCTGAAGACCTTTCTGCCTCTCAGCTATGAATTCACGATCCATGTTTCCAATCAATTTTTTGGGAGGAAGAGGTAGACTTAGGCCTGCAATCTTACATAAAAAAATAAATAAATAAAAAAGAGTATACTCAGGTCACCCACAAATAAGATTCAATATCAGAATCATCACAGTTTATTACATTTAAGACAAAAGATCTTATGATGCATATAAATTTTGGTGATATTATAAAAATGTGAAAAAATTTATACATTAAGATGCTACGTGAAGAATAGTGACTCTATTTTTGTTGTTGGTTTTTGAGACTGGGTCTTGTTATATAGTTCACGCTGGCTTTGAATTCACTTTGTAGCCCAGGCTGGCTTCCAACTCACAGTGATCTTCCTGTTTCAGCCTCCCAATTGCTAGGATTACAGGCATGTGCCTGCACACCCAGCACACATATGACTTTAAAACTTTAGATTTAAAATTTTTTTCTCCCAAATTTACACAGGAACATAACATCAAGAGTACATTGTTTTTAAAAAAATTGTTATTAGTAGTCACGTGAAACTTTGTCTCCCAGAATTGCCAGGACAAGATGACACATCCATCTCCTTTCTCCTTAGACAACCACATTCAATGCTTTTCAATTCTTTCCACTGATCTTCTGGCTCTGGGGAATGATCAGGCTGTTATATCATAACATCATTTTTAGGCATTATCTATAAGCTTCCTATTATGGAAGATAAGGATTAAGTTCTCTTTCACAACTCTGACCTTGCCCTGCACACAACCCATCCACATTTATCCAACAGTATTATATTATAATTTAGTTACTGCATTACCTTATTTATATTAGGTAAATTATATTCTTAATAGTATAATTCAAAATAATTGCTGAACACTTTGGAGGTAAATTGAGGCCTCCACACAATTATGTGGTTCCCTTAGAAGCCTGCCTTCCACCATGTGCTTAACCAGTGAGTTCTTATCCACTGGACTTTTCATCTACAAGGTTCGCTATAGTTTTCTCCTCTGCTCTCTATTTGTCTCTGACAGTTGTGCATGCACGCGTGCACGTGTGTGTGTGTGTGTGTGTGTGTGTATAATCAATTTACTATTATTCAGAGTGCGTTAGGGAGGAAGAAAAAGTAAATGCAGCTGTTCAATCTCACTATCATTCTCCAGATCCCTGAAAAGTCTGAGTCTATTTTTTAGTCTGTATTTTTAAACTTAAAGTATCAGATTGGCATTTTAATATAGCAAGCAAAATGACTTTCAGAGAGTAGTGCTATTCGATCCTAATGCTTATATTAGAGCAGTCCTAGTGGTATGTGTATGGATCGAAGATAAAGACATCTTGAATTCCAAATGAATACAGTCTAAACCACATGCACGCAAATTCAGTTTAGACAGCTCCACTCTACTTTTTGAACAATGATACAGACCAACGAAGACCTTGAAGCTGATCCTAGATAAGAGGAAAAGGCTGAATGACAATTTAGAATTGTCATTCTTGTTCTCTAACACACTTGTAAAATATGTCAGAGTGCAAGTTTCGTGAGTTTGTTATCCTGGCGTAATTTATTGGTAGATAAGACACTTAAATTTCAGTTCACTTTTCTTCATTCATACAATCACGCTTTACCTAACTGCAGTTCTTTTATTAGCTAAAAAAATGCTATGAAAAAGTATATTATTTACCTGTGACACATAGAAACCAATATCTGTATTTATTTTTACTCAGGGACATAAAATATTAAATCAAGAGTAATATAAAACCTAAAACACAACTCTTTTAAACCTATTTGATGAAACTGCAGAATATAATCTTGTGTGTGTATGTGTGCATGCCCAGAGATATGCCTCTGTAGGCACAAAAAGTAACCTAAGGACTCGAACCACTGCTTAACAGTGGCTACCTCTGGGAATAGGTTGTTAATAATTTCTATTTCTTTATCATGAAATATTTACAATGCTCATTTGCTACTCTGTTTTAATGTTAACATCAGCCCTTTAATTTGTATTAGGCTACCATATTTTTTTGTTTTTGCTTTGTTTTCTGAGTAGATCCTCACTGTACAGCCCAGGCTTCATTCTTCTTGCCTGAGAGTCCCAGGGTCACAGACTTGAATCACTGTGCCCAACAGTAACGTTCCTTCTTACATGTGTCAAGACGCATAGTGAATAGTGAGTTCTGAGTTGCAAAAGAGGATTTATTTTTTGTACCTATTAATCATATTTTTTTCAATTAAAAATAAAAGAAAATCCCCTCTGCTTATCAAACGATTGTATATATAAAGAGGCTAAGAAAAATTATTATTAACCTGTAATCAAGACACAAACTGCCTTGTGCTACCCCACCACCACACACACACACACAGCACCACCTGAATCCCACATAACCCAGAATGGAATCATGTCTGGTATCACTGGATTTGAATTCCAACATTTTGGTTATTTTTCATTCGAGATGGGAACACTAGAATGAATTTGATAAAATACTTGTCTTGAAATGTGAGCCCTCCAAGCATCAATCAATCTTTCTTTTCTTTCCTTTCCTTCTTTTCTTTCTACAGCAAAACAGCATCTTGCTAAGTAGTTCAAGATGTCCTGAACTCATGATGTAGGCCAGGCCGGCCTTGAACTCATGACAATTCTCCTGCCTCAGCCTCTCAAGTGTTGGGATTACAGATGTGCGACACCACACCTGGCTCAATCTATTTTTAAATCTTCATTGCACTGTAGGAAAATGTACTGATCAAATATCCCATTATCCCATTCCTTCTTCAAAATCAAAGAATTCTTTTTTGCTTACAGCTTCTATTATACTATCGTGTCCCTGCTATGAGACAGATTGAAGTAAAGACCTCACAATAAATATTGCTTACACACAAAACCACATAGTGTGAGCTGTTTTTTACTGTTATTTTTTTTCTCTTGAGACAGGGTCTCTCTATGCAGTTTAGGCTGCCCTTGAATTCACTAGCTAGCTCAGACTGATCTCAAACTCACACTGATCTTCCTTGCTCAGTTTCCTGAGGGCTGGTACACAGGTATGCACTCCCACACCTGGCTTATGTGTGTTGTTTACACAGAAAAGATTAGCACACAAGAGACATTTATCTTCCACTTCAGCTTTCTTGTATGATTTCTAAGAAGCTACCAATCACAGACTACAAAATTTGGAAATCCAGCCGGGTGTGGTGGCTCACGCCTGTAATCCCAGCACTTGGGAGGCTGAGGCAGGAGGATCTTTGTGAGTTTGAGACCAGCCTGGGCTACAAAGTGAGCTCAAGGCAAGCCTGAACTGCATAGTGAGACCCCATCTCAAAAAAGACAAACAATATAGTACCAGCACACCAACTGTTACTACGCCACTGATTTCCTGGACACCTCAACAGTAGGACACCTATCCCCTCATCTTTACCTGCATTCTCCTTTAATATGCCCTATAGATTTCCCTACTCCGTTTCTATGAGAAGACAGCAAGTAGAGAACCTCAGATTCCATTCCTATCAACTGCAGAGTAACAAAGCAAAAGATGACTCCCCAGGCAGGCTCCAGAGCCCTAATTTGATCTATACTAGCCTAGAAGCCTCTATACCCAAACTGTATCAGTTTCATGAATGCCAGCTTTCACTAGGAGGAAAAGCCCTCAAACACAAACTTCATCTGTCCTTACTCATTTGCATCATTAGACCTTAATATCCTCCAAACCACCTTCAATTATATTTCAGGCTCTATTCTACAGAGTTTTAAACCATTGAAAGACGTTTAATTTGTTCCAATTTCCTCCCCAAAGTCAATGATGGTAATAAAATTGGAATCACAAAACTTCACGCCATATGAGACTTCAGAAGTCACCCTCATTTCAGATGTGAAGCCCGGGAATGATGAGAGACTCAAAGTCTCAGTGTTAGGATAAGCGAGGGCGGGACTCCTTCCCAAGTGCACGGGGCAGGCTCCTTTGTTCTCCGCCCAGTTCCCATCATTTCAATCAACTGCTCCTTTCTTTTTGTTATAAATAATTTGCTTAGATAACTGGTGTCTTGATATTGCATTTATTTAAAATAAGGTAATGATTTTTTGTCATTGTTACAATAGATTCTTGCTGTAAAATTTTTGGAAAATTTAGCCTTTTGTACTTTCCTGCTTAATACAGCTTACATGAAAGTATTTGTACAGAACTTGGAAAGTAGAGAGGATATAAAGAACTAGAAGTAAATGTAATACATAATCCTAACACCTGGGGATCACTATTAGCATTCTGGCATATTTCTTCCCAATTCTAAATATTTCAAAAATCCTATTACATAGCAATATAACTTTACATTCTACTTTCTTATTTTCTTTTTTTAAATTTTTTTATTTTTTGCTTTCTTATTTTCACTTAGGTATGTTCCTACTAGACTTAAGACACCATTTCATATATGTATTATATTTCTTGTTTTTCAACAGGAACTATTTATCTGTCAAAAGAGTAACTAACTGAACACTGAAAATTATGTAACAAGCTCATTTTGTGATTTGGAGGTTTTTTTCATCTGTGTTTTTGGAAGGTATTTTGAAATTATCTTGTTGCCCAACACCTGTATTGCTTTCTTCTGTTTGTTTACTGGACCCAGAAAACCCTCCCACTGAAGTGATGTCTACTGAAGTGATGTCTGGCTATGCTCTGCCCAGCACAAGCCAGTACCAATCCATGTGACTATCTGCCTTTGCAATAAGATGCACAGTGAAAATATTCATTTAAAAGGAAAAATTACACTGAAGCAAAAAAGAGATTCTAATCTATCCAAAGGGTCAAAAGTGAACAGTCATGGAGATTCAGGCTCACATTCCCAAACTAAGAGCACCTCCATTCTCAGAGACTCAAGTTCCCAGGAGTCTTATTCTGAGGTGGAAGAAAGACCCTGTACAAAGGTCACTTCCATCATATGAAGGTTTGGGTGCACAAATGTTGAAACATATAGCAGGACTAGGGTTAACTCCCCAAATGCTCACACCACTGTGGCTCACTGATACCCAGAAAATTTGCTTCAGGAACAAACTATACATCAGTGCCTTATTTTAAAGCCATTACAGGCCTAGCTTTTGTCCAAGTGCACAGACTGTGCAATTAAAACCCATAAATGAAACAAACTAACTCCACCAATGAGAGGAATCTGATCTCTGCCAGTATTCTCTCTGGAGACTTAAACTGGTCATGCTAAAATTAAAATTTTTTTTTAAAAAAAGACAATGTGTCAAACGCATGACCATGTGGCAATTACATAAAGATCTAAATACTCAAGCCAATACTTTCATAAGGAAAAAAAGGCACTCCTGTTTTCGGTAGTACTGTGTAAAGTTTGGACTCTACAAATGCTATTTTCTCATGTCTGACTGATAAAAACATGGTTGTTTGAAGGAAAGGAGGCATTTTGCTTCCTCCCAGCCAGCAGCCCTCTTAACCTTTGTGGACTGCATCAAGGGTCACTTAGAACACGTGGTAGTGGCTAGCAGGCAGCAGTGCTTTACCTCCTGGCTCAGGGCACAAAGGGTTTCTGTTACCACTCAAATTTAGGGTAGGACACAGGCCCAGTGGTCTGCAGTCATTCATGTTACCTGAAGAGCAATCTCCTGAGGCAGACGTCACCGCTCTTCCAGGCCTTCCTGTCATGCAGCACCCTCAAAACCAGACACTTGGCCCTTTACCTGCCCTGGCTCTTTCCAGACGGACTGCAGCTCATCCCTTCTGTTACCACTACTGAATGAGAACACTTAAATTACAGGAATTTAAAAATACGCACTGAAGAGAAAAAGCAGTCCCAATCTGTGAAACATGGATGATATATCAGTACCTAAGGTTGTTGTAAAAACACGGTCTTGTACTCAGCTTGCAAGGTATCTATCAACTATAAATCACACGTTTATCCCAAATATTTGTTTGTTTGGTTGGTTGTTTTTTGGTTTTTTTTTTGAGACAGGGTCTCATTGTATAGATGAGCCTTTTTATTTTTTATTTTTTGGCAGTGGGGATCAAATTCATGACCTTACATAGTGCTTGGGCCGCTGAGCTAAATCCCTGGGCCTTGAGCTTAACTTTGAACTTGCATAGATCCTATCTCTGCCTTCCAAGGCCAAATGTTTGTTTCTGGAGCCATATACTATCTGTTTAAAAGTATGAAATTAATCTCATCTGCAAAGGAAACCTGCTACATTCTCGTTCCTGATACGCCATTTGCTATAGTTAGGATTCTGAATGTCCTCCAAAAGCCCATGTGTTAGAACTTTGGTTCCCAGAGTGGTAGAATCTTGAGTGACCTGGAAGGGGTCTTTGGGCTGCCTAGCAGACCTTTAGGTCATTGTGGACATGTCCTAGTAAAGCATATGAGGCATCTCTCTCCTGATCACTCTCTTTGTTTCCAGGCCCCACTCACTGTTCCACCATGATGTGCTGTCCCACCACAGGCCAGAGCAACAGGACCAACTGATCATGGGCTGAAGCCCCAAACTGTGAGCCAAAATACATCATTACTCTTTATAACTGACTTTCTCAGGTATTTACTTGTAGTGATGGAAAGCTAACAAACAATGTTTCCAAACAATTTCAAAGATACCCTAGGCAATCAGTGTATATTGCTAGAGTTTGCAAGTATTTACCTGCAAGCTGTTGTTCAGTAAATCAAAGTCACTGTATCTTCTAACAATCTGTAAGAGACAAGACAGCAGTGTTTTAATTCAAGGACATCGCTCCATTTTCTTTAACATTTTTTGCTATGTTGCGGTCGTGGTGCATGTGATAAGTAGGATATGCCTTCCTGGTCTTACCTTGTTTAACCTCACCAATGCAGAAAACAGGCCTGGCCAAGCCCCAGAGTTGGCTAGGCCATGTGAAATTGGTTAATGCCAGACAAACTCAAAAGACACCAACAGCTAAGTGGAAGCATTTGTTTCCAGGTCAAACAGTCTTTCAAATAACTTTATCGCTAACCAGGCTCATGGAGAGATGAATTAATGATTTTCAAAAATAAAAATAAAAAAACGTTTAACTCAGCAGGGAATGCAAGCAAAAGAAATGTGCGGTTCTGAGGCCATTTCATCCTTGTTGTGGCTAAACCTTCCACCAGGTGAGGCTCTGGAGCCTGGACTGTCCCAGTGGGTAGGGCTGCCCTACCGGAACTTGATTGCTCAGCTCCCCTCTCGGTAGACTGTCCATCCTTTACCATCTACATTCTTCCATGTGTTTATGCCATTGACTACACATAATCAAATTCTAGTAGCTCTGGATAAAGACATTATTCCGCTTTTGAATAGTTTTCCATCAGCATTTTTTTCTGATTGATTGATTGTATTGGGGATTGAACTCAGGGCCTTCTCACTGAACTACATCTCCATCCCTTTTTAAATGTGTTTTATTCTGATACAGAGTATCACTAAGTTGCCCAGGCTGCATTCAATTTGTGCTCCTTCTGCTTGGCTCCACAGAGTGCCAGGATTAAAGGTATGTATCACCGTGCCCAGGTGGACTTCAGCTTTTATTAGTAGTTCTCAAATGTTAGTGTGTAGGGGGCTGGGGATTTAGCTCAGCGGCATAAGCGCCTGACTTGCAGGCACGCAGTTGTGAGTTCGATCCCTGGTACCGATAAAAAAAAAGAAAAATGTTAGTGTGTAGAACAATCACCAGGAGTTTACCAGGTTCCCCCACACAAAGTGTCTAATTGAGTCAGTCTGAGGGGAGGCTTCAAGAGTACATTTTTGCTGAGTACCCAGAAGTCTCCAATGCAGAAGAACTAAACACTGCAAGAAGGCTTGATTCTTCTAATAGGATGCTGTTCTTGGTCCTGCTTATCAAATGAACATCAGAGGGTTAAATAAAAGACCCTTCCCCCAAGAAGAACAAAAGAATAAAAGATAATGACGTAGCTAGCCAGTGAATAGGCAAATTCCATCACTGTTATGTCAAGGATCTAAGGGTGCCAAAGACAAGTTAATTATATCTCAAATGTAAAATGACAATACTAGTACCATATAGGACTGATTTAGAGTGAATTAATGTACTTAAACCAGTGTTCAATACCTCATATATATACTAAATAAATGTAAGATGTAAGAATTATTTTTTAAAAAGCAGTTTGAAATTCTAGGCAATGAGAAGAGCAAATGTGGGCCACATGTGATCAGAAGACTTTAAAGTGGGGAAAAAACTTGAGCTAGAGAGTGCACCACATGGCATGAGCTCATGGTCTGCACAGCACATGCCACCCAGCCATGCAGCCTTGGTACACCACTTGGAACCTGGTAGGGTCCCACCCAGCAACCCCAAGCAGCTGGAGAGCCTAGTGTGCTGTTCAGGTCCTGGTAGCACACTGCCCAGCAACCCCAAGCAGCCAGGGAGCTTCAGTGCAGGACATGGTGCAAACTGAGGCCTGCACGGTGTACTCCACCTGGCCATGCAGCTTTAGTGGCCACGCGGCACCTGGTAGGGCCATACCCAAGGAGCTCAACCAGTCAGGGAGCCTCAGTGCACTGTGTAGGGTGTGCGAAAGGTCTGCCCAGCATACTCTACCCATTTGGGGAGCCCCTGAGTGCTGCTAGGAACCTGGTAAGTCCTGCCTATCTCTCGGCTGGGGAAACCCCCTCCAGTACAGACAGCCATCATCAACACAGGTAACAACTGAAACTCTGCATCTGGCTGCCCCAGAGGAATACAGGACAATGACAAAACAAAACAGCAAAATGTAATTTCAAATCTCCATCCCATCCCAAACAAACCTAGGAGACATGAATATAGATGAAAGTGTAAACCACACACCTGAAACTTCTGAAATGATAGTAACTGAAATAAAGAAAACAACTCCATGAAGCTGTAAAGGAAATCAGATCAGAAACAATCTCCCAGCTAAACAAAGAAATGATAATCTAGAAAAGCTGAACATATCTAAATAATACATAGTTAAATAGAGCACTAAAAAATGAAGAAACCTTGAATGAACACTATAAGAAAGAATTAGAATGCATGAAACAGATCCAAAGAGATATCCAGGAAACCAAATTTCCACTGAAAGCTGGCAAAACCACCTGAATAAATGGGAAGACAGACTTGCAGACCTCAAAGACAAGATTGAAGCCAATGAACAGGAAAGATCTTTTAAAAATAACAAGGAATCAGGGAATAACAATTCAACAGTTGCAAGACAATGCAAAGAAAAACAATATAAGATTGATGGGTATAAATGAAAAAGGTGACAATGCAAATGATATAAAAGACTATTTACCGAATAGCTGAAAATTTCCCAAATGTAAGAAGAAACTGACATAAAGATAAATGAAGCCTATAGAACTTCAATTATCCATAACCAAAATAAATCTACACTCAGACATACAACAACATCCCAGAAATTCAACATAATAACAATATTAAAAGCTATTAGAAGGGCCAGGGATTTAGCTCAGCAGTCTAAGTGCCTGCCTGGCAAGCACAAGGTCATCAGTTCGATCCCCAGTACCAAAAACAAAAAACAAAACCAAAAAAAGCTATTAGAGAAAAGAAACAAATCACCTACAATGGAAAGCCTTTCAGAATCACAGCAGACTTCTCAACACAAACAATCAAGTCAAGAAGACCACGGAGTGAAGTATTTCAAATCCTAATGGAAAATGACTTCCAACATAGATTGATGTACCTTGCAAAACTATCCTTACAATCGATGGAGAAATAAGATACTTCCAAGACAAAGAACAGCTGAAGAATTTCATGACCACCAAACCAAGCCTACAGAGAATCCTGAAAGATATTCTAGATAGACATAAAAATAACTATGACTTCAAAAATGCCAACAAAAAAAAATTAATCAGGACAAACAATTAAACGAAGGGGAAAATTAAAGAACCAACAGCAGAAAGATAACGTGACAAAACAAGCCAATATATATCACTTATAACCATTAATGTAAATGGCCTCAATTCACCAATTACAAGAAACAGACTGACAGAATGGATCAAGAAACAACATCCAACCATATGCTATCTACAAGAAAACCATCTAACTCAGAAGGAAATTCATAGAAACTCCAAGGGTGGAAAACAATACTTCATGCAACAGGAATGCACAAAAAAAGCAGGGGTAAGCTATTCTGTTTTCAGACAATGTGAACTTTAAATGTGAACTTTAAAGAATGATCAAAAGAGATAAAGAAGGTCACTACATGCTTGTCAAGGGAAAATTTTCAAGAGGAAAAGATAACAACATTAAATATATATGCACCAACTATGGAAGCAACCAGTTATGTAAAACAAATATTAATAGAAATGAAAAGTCAAATAAGTAATAAGACAATTATAACAGGTGACCTTAACACCCCACAGACACAGACAGATAAACTAGACAAACCATCAGCCAAGAAATAACAGAATTGAATTAAAAGTGTGAACAAATGGATTCAGTAGACATGTACAGAGTGTTCCACCCAACAATATCAGGATATACATTCTTCTTAAATACTAGCCCACAGAACACACTTAATAAATGCAAAAGAACTGAAATTATCTCATGCATATTATTTGATCATAGTGCCATGAAACTGGAAATTAATGACAAAAAAACTGCAAAAACTCCATAAACACACAGAAATTAAGTAACACTCTCCTGAACAATCAGTGGATCACAGAGGAAATTAAAAAAGAAATTAAACAATTATCTACAAGCAAATTAAAATGCAAATACAACTTACCAGAACCTGTGGAATGCAGTGAAAACAGTCCTCAGAGGGAAATTTATTGTGGTGAATCCCCACATCAGGAAAACAAAACAAACATAAATAAACTACCCAATGCTACACCTCAAACATCTAGAAAAAGAAGAGCAAGTCAAACCTAAAGCCCAAAGAAGGGAGAAAATTATAAAGAGAAGAGCAGAGCAGAAATTAGCACAACTGAGACTAAGAAAATAATACAAAGAATTAACAAATCAAAGCGTTGCTTCTTTGAAAGAATAAATAGCATGGATAAGCCCCTAGCCAACCTTATTAGAAAAAGGAAAACAAAACTCAAATTCATGCAATAAGCAAGGAAAAGGGCAAAATCACACAGGTGCTGTGGAAATACAGATATCACCAATACCTACGTCAGAAACCTTTACTCTCATAGGTTCAACAACACAGAAGAAATGGACAGATTCCTAAAAACATATGAATTACCAAAGCAGGATCAAGAAGGTGTTTACTGATGAATAACCCAATTTCAGTTCATGAAATTGAAAATGTAATTAGAACCTTACAAACAAAGAAAAGCACAGGTCCTGATGTATTCACAGCTAACTCTACAAGAAATTCAAGGAAGACTTAATGCCAACACTCCTCAAACTCTTCAATGAAATTGAAAGGGAAGCAATTCTTCCTAACTCATTATTGGAAGCAAGTATTACCCTGATATCAAAACCAGAGAAAGACTCACCCAAAAAAGAGAACTACAGAATCAATCTCTCTAACGAATATAGATGCAAAAATCCACAATAAAATACTGGCAAATAGAAAGAAGCACGTCATCAAGAAGATTATACACCATGACCAAGTGGGATTCATCCCAGGAATGCAGGGATGGCTCAACATATGCAAATCAATAAACACAATATACCATATCAATAGACCAACGATAAGAATCACAGTATCACTTTAATAGATGAAGAAAAAGCTTTTGATAATGTCCAACAC